TTGGCATGTGGAATCCCTTCTCTGTTTTATTCTCGACAGCCGAAGAGCGCCGTAAAAGTGCTCAAGAAAGTGTAATGATTAACTAATAATAGCAATAATAATAATAGTAATAATAATGCTGTCCTAGAAATGACGGTCATTTTCAGCAGTATTATCATGAGTACACACTTATGTTGTGTTTTCAGAATTATTCACCATGACGTTTCGATGGCCAGCTCGCCATTGGAAATCCGTCCGAAGTGACTTGCGGAGCAGAAGAAATGCGAACAATCTACAGAGCATGATTGCGTGAATAGTTTCATGATACACCCAGAGTGGGCCGCCAACATCCAGTTCAAATATTCGATGCGACTGACAACGCGTTCAAGTTCGAGTTACCAGGGGATGCATGCTGCCGAGGCGTCTTGACAAAAAGCTAGCTGTCTGCTATTTCCACGAATTTTCGATCGTGGGTTAAATGCTGAAAACGCATAACAAATCAAAACTCTCACTGACGGATGCAGATTTTCCCATTGGGTATATTTTGATTCTGAGTATTAGGTTTACCATAACTGGCTGAATGATTTGGATACTATCGCGTTTTTTTTTTATTTTGACGACTGCGTGAAGAACGTGCAGTAATCAAACCGTGAATCATGTATTCCACAGGGTAGAACGGCAATCTGTGACAATTAAAGTGAGTTGATATACTACCTGTGCCACGGACAGTGTTGCATTAAACTGTGTAGAGCATGGACGTCAAAGAAAGAGGAACCCCCGGAATTTCAGCCAAAGAGAGTGTAACCTATTTTGCATCTTATGAAGTTCTTTACTCACTCATCGTTTGAGTTAATCAAACACCTCATTAGATTCATCCGACACTTAGGTTGTGATTATTGATTACAACAGTACATCGAATAAACATCCACTAACAACAGTATTAGCATCCAATTTCGAACAGCAAGTGAAAAACTCAGGTCCACTAACATTTCGACTAAACAGTACACGCGTTCTACGGAAGAGGAAGTTCGTAATAAATAAAAGGAAGGGACATTACTCAAATATTCCGAACAGATCCTAAGTGACGACAGACTGTGTATGAGTGGAATAGTATTGACTCATCAGACAATGCACCCTGGTACGCGCGAAGCTATGTCCATCCAAGTGTTCTGGTCATGGAAAAGAGAACTAATCGGTTTCGCACTCAATGGCGGATCGATTGGTAATATTTGAAGTTCGTTTTCACAAGTCATAGTTCACGTTATTATTGATGATCAAAGGGATCAAAATTGCAATAAGATCAGGTTGGTCGATTCGCAGTTATAAAATTCGATTAGTGAACGAAGTGTAGGCTGCGTACTTCAGCTCTCCCGTTTGACTCAAGGGAATGTTAGACGTTCTATTTCCTCTTGCCCTGTCAGGATCCGCGAATAGCACTTTATTTATCCCATGGAATTTCATTTACCACTGTTGCGACTATAGCTTTTCCTGGACGACTGGAGAAAGCACAATCCAGTCAAATGATTCCGTGAATCACACCCACACACAAAAAATAGTGAGGGAAGGAGAAAAAGAACTTAACACGCTTCGGGCAATTCCGGTCATATCGGGTTCATTGTTCGGCAACTCCGAATGCTACCTGTACAGTAAGTGCACATTTGACGACCATCAAACGCACCATTCACTAAGAAACTGCATAAAGAAAGAAATATAGGGAAGCAAAAATTATTCCCATGTCACATCATTTACTGATTTTAGTCGTGGTTAGGTGTATGATATGACTAATTTCCAATACCACGTGAATAAGTACTGACTGATCCCCCAACAAACACCGCGTGGTCTTGTGGATAACATATCTCACTACTTGGTCATTGCAAGGCTAATTTGTATGACGACGTGCTTAGTAGACAACTGTGCAGCATGTGACTCGTAGTGGTCAAACGATCGTCACCGTGAAATTTGAATCCTGACCTCCGACATTGGAATTACTCTACCACCTTTTACTTTTCCATTCTGTAGCCTTCGAAAAACCGTAGTGTCCATACAGAGAAAACATCGGGAATTTAGTAGTGTAAATTTTTAGACAGAAAAGCGAAAATCAAAACGGAACGTTCAAATGAGGAGTATGGAACAGATGTACGGATTCAGCCCATGTAAATCCTCTTGGTTGAAAGACGTTGTTTACATCAACAAAATTTCAGACAACTTATGCATTCGATACACCGCTATTTCTTGAACGTCAACATCCACCTCAGTTACGAAGACAATTGAATGACTTACAACACATAACACTAGTCTCATCACACTGTCGATCGCTAGCACTGTGTAAAGAAGACCTATCATTCACAACAGTCGACCGCTGCCTCCTTCTAATGATAACTTTCATGGGTATCTGGATAACTTCATAGTACTTTAGACCATCCGTATGGAATAAGTCAATTTCGATGACACATTCTATTGTTTATCTGAGGGTGCGAAAGCAACAGACGAAAGTGTTGATAACACAAATTGGTAGAAGAGCTGTCGGGCTGTAACACGAAATGGAGTCGTGAGTTTCTCTTCACTTCCCTCATAGCCAAACATCCGGAATAATACGTTCTGGTCGTCACTGTGGGAGAGTAGTACGGGTACGACTGTGCGAGGCAGGCAGTAAGCAAAAATAACCAAAAATACACTCTTAGAGATACTGACCTCGGGTCGGTAAAAAAAACCTGATCATAATTAGGGTCCAATCTGTCAAAACTTGCAACAGTCAATCATTCGGAATATCGCTACTAACGCTTGACAAAGTCATCACAAGGTTGCTTAATCTATTCCGCAGACTTATCGACATCAAAATGTACAAGTCTGGTCAGTACTCATCTTGATTTCGAGTCAGGCCGTGAACATAAGACTTCACGTACATAACCCTCCAGAAAAAAGGGCATGACGTGCTTTTCCGCGTCGGCGAATCCGATGAAGTTAATCTACCTTCACCGACGCTCAAATAAGAAAACGCGGCTTCCCTTTCCAACAACTCAAGAGCATAATGAGCCTTTTGCGATCTGTGCATCAGAGGCAAAAGTGTATTAGCGAGAATGACTATCAACCAAAAAACGAAATCTAAGGGAGAAACGCAAACCACCACCGGTCAAATATTCTTCCCGAGACTAGCTAATCGCCAGATCAAAAGAGGTTCGTTGTATACATTTTAATGAGTATTTCACCAGCTGACAAATGGGCACCTTATTGTTGGCCACATCAATCATTGCGAGATCCGCTCCAACGCGACGATAATTGCGTTAACTAAGCGTAAAACAAATCAGCTAGTAACAGGATAGATTGACGAAACATCTCATTTGAGAAACAAAAGGCAAACATGAAACACTTAAAAGGACTGGCAATTTTGGCATGTCGGTGGGGTATATCGATAGCATATGGTGTCAGGATGATGGAAATAATGAAAAATCTGCTTGCAATTTTTCACTCATGTTCAGTGCACCAGCCGGAAATTTAGCAAGAACAAGTACGTGACTATATAAATTGAAATGATTCGCATGTTGAACTGAGACGAATAGCTTGGTCCATGTTCATTTATATCTGTTTCGTTACCGGAGACCAATTTACATCTCGAAGCGAGAAAATCCCCATGAAAAGCCCCGTCAGTATTCAACAATCTAAGCTGAGCCACAATGAGAACACAGTCCGAACAAGAGTGAGAAGCAGAGGTGTGATAAATTCAGTTCATGTCCTTTTGGGAATATTTCTATCCACTGTATGCTGAATAAATAGCCAGGAACCCATTTTCCTTCGAAATCACTATCGACTAAATTTGGATAGGTGAGGGGTGTGTCGACCGTGCAGTAAGAATATAACCAATTGCTATTAAATTATTTGATCGCAAGCAGTAATCTTTTGATTTCAATGAAGTTCTAGCTCTAAAGATGAAGCTATTAGGACAACAGCGAAGCCAATGAACGTCAGATGGCAGTTTGAAAAACCCATGAAAACGCGACACGCGTTGCAATATACACCGAAGACTGAAAGTTCTATCCGAAACGGTGCATCTTCCAAACCAATTAGGAGATAACGCAGATTGAACGATAACCTCGAAGGACGCCAGATGTCCGTGCAATGCGAACGGCACCACACAGCATTTGTGGGAAGCTCATGTACTACAAATGTCCGACAACCGATAGTATTCCTAAACGCTGGTATGAGATAGTATATACGACGTTATTAGCGCCTAAATTGTGTTCTATTGCCATGAATGCAATGATCCGATAAACAACAGGTGGAACGAAACGAATCCATTCAAACGATACTAAGAGTACGGACCCAAGTCAATCCATATTATGCATAAATCTGTCTTTGGCTAGCTTCGAAACAGAGTAATTGTCTGTGATCAAGGAGACAGCGTGAATGAAGTCAAAAAAAGATGTGCTCTATGCTCTCTCACTATCTCAATGGGACCGTTTGTTTCTGATAGGGGCTGGTTGGATTCCTCATCTAGTCGATTGGATCAATGCGAATCTATCAGACGCGGCATTACCCAAACCGTAGCCACACGGATGATTGCGAATAGTCCATGTGTAAGATCTAGGTAACTTTGAAATTGTTGTGCCTTGACCATGGAAGAGCATAGAATTCCCAAGTGGGACCAACAGCATGACAAAAACGAACTACGAGACAAGTATGTGTGTTGGCTAACACAAAGAGAGAAGATTGTTTTTTTAAAGGAGAAGTGAATCATAAAAACCAGTCAAACGGAATGTATTGAAACAATAAAAACCACAAAGCCAAGAAGACAAGAAATGGAGAACATGAAACGATCACAGAAGTCGCTTCAATCTACAGTTGGCGGAAAATAGTGGAGGATGATGAGTTGAAACAGCGACAATCAGACAGCGCTTTTTTTCTTTGACGACTGATTCAATGTTGCGCAAGGGGTCCGCACACAGGATACAAATATTGTGGGAGTAGGGGACACATAGTCTGTACAATAAGTCCTGGTCTTTTCGTTTATTTTTCTGCGCACAAGGTTAGTAAATGGCGGAGAGCTCGTGAAGATAGGACTGCATTTCCAAACTAGTTTCCATGCAATCTTTGCGCATCTGTTTCAATACAGTTTCCACCTATAGTCCAGATGAACAATAAAATGAAACACAAGACGTGAGAAACAGTATTAGGTAGTACAAAAGCGTGCGAAATAGCGATTGCGTTCGTAGGAAAATGGGCAGAAGCAAACAGCCTTGGAGGAAATCTAAAAAAGTGTATCGCCCGATAGCACAGCTGACAGAGGGAAGGTCACGGCATGACATTGAAATAACTACCTCGCTCCCTATCCCAGTTATCCTTTGCTGAAAAATGAAAGCGGTCCGGAAAGATCATTCCCACGTCTCGAATAATCATTTCGTGATGGCCTGATAGGTAGCGAACGAGTAGTGAGGCTGAGACGACCTCGACCAACAACATTTTTGGAACCGCCGTATATTCCCACAAAGCATTCAACGTATGTCGGGGTTCAGACGCGAAGCAAACGATCTATGGAACGACGACATCTACTACACATGGTTACTGTTACTTATTTCCTCCTGTCTGCAGGTTCACGCACGTTTGTTCCTGCAGGATAGACAATATTGATCTGAGCAACTCTTTGTTAAAGCAGTTGAACCAAATGAATTCAATGGATGACAAGAAGGCAATCATGCAGGTAGGGAAAAACGACCTGGAGTTACACACCCGCTTACCTCAAACAGGGCAATGCACACCTTTTCTGTTATCATTTTTCATGAAAAACAGAACAAACTGTGAAATAAGTATCATATGGAACTGACAAATTTCAAACCGTTTCTAATTCCGAAAGAGCGTTTGTTTTTGAGAGGGGACGAAATGAAAACGTTAGCGTTGGAAAGATTTGTTTCCGATAAGTTGCTTTCACGGATTTCAAACAGAAAACCGCAACGGCATTGTACAACGGAAGATGATGACGAGGTAAAAACGGTTGGGAGTGTTTTTGTCATTGTTTGTTAGTTCTACTGCCGCTACTGTTGTCCACGAGGCCAACTGCTCAAACGAATTACATATTGGTGGTTAACAGTGTCGTAAAGAATATCGATGGAGTTCAAGAGGTTTCAAAAGGGTATGTTGAAAACATTATTGATGATCAAAAAGTATAGCAACTCATCTGAACAGTAATTCAATCCATCTCAACAATCACCTACCAAAGTTTCGAAAAGGATATGGTCTTCTTCCTCCAAATAGGTCTCCGGTACATCCAGATCTTCATGAACCCGCAGCGTAAGTGAATCGTAATTCTCTCGAACGACTTCCAGGACCTAAACGGCGAGAGAAAAGCATATGATTTAAACAGGTATGTGGGCTTATTTGTGAATCACAAGACCGTCCGTAAGTCTTTACAGGACACGACCCAGATAACGCACTGAAATGAATAAAGAAGAATGTCACCTAACTGACGAAAACATCGCCAGAAAATAATTGATCGAAGAATTCCACATTTGAAACCGGTCAGTTTGAAGTGAAAAGCTGCAGCAGATTGGAATGGACCTTGAGGATATATCAGTTACGACAAATAATGTTGAGCTTCTGTTAGTCACATCTGTGTCACTGTTTTCAAGTCGGCATGATACAAACTGAAGTTGCATTGTACTAACCACGCCGATAGGACTTGGGTGAATGGATAGTTTTCGTGGAGAACGGCTAGAACAAAATACAGATCGCTGGAACAAGTGTGTTACAGACACAAAATGCATTGGTGAAACTATGCTGAATTTTGTATCACCTTTAGACCGACGGAAAATGACATTGGACAGTCCAGTTCTGTGAAATTCATTGTCTGGAGCGATTCGAATTTCAGAGAAATCCAACGATAATGAGAGGAGTGAATATACACCTAGAATACTAATGCGTGAATGATTGCATTTGTGCAACCATTCGCTGGAAGATGCACTACACGAGGTTCAATAAGACAAGCCAGGAACAGTCTGTCCGTTTACATTACTAATTGCTATACCTGAGACAAGCGCAAGTTTGAATCAAATTCCCAAATTACACGACCTGGGACATCTAAAGATCAATGCTGCATGAAAAATAACACATTACCGTTGAACCAGGACACTAAACAGCCGCCGTCCAGAAGCACGGTGGCCATTGTAAGGCGAATCCTTGTCGCTAGCCGACAGGAAGTCAATTGTGTTACCTATATAGCAGAGTGGTTTGGACACAGTAGGTAGTACAGACGAGAGGCATACAGCTGAACGATATAGACTGGCCTTTGGAGAGACCGCGCTAGCGCACAAGTGAAATGAAATTCCCACAAATAGTCATTTCGTGTGCTGTGAGATTATATCGGACCTTGAGACAACGAGACACAATAAACGTGCTCGCGTGCATTTTTCCGAAGTGGCATTTATTTTAGGACAAGAATCCGCATCACGTGAGCATCACGGGTGTTCGTGCTTTGAGACATTTTTAGGTGGAACGACCCAAGTAGGTGGTCATACAGCAAAGTAAGCGGACCTCTAAGCCCCAAGTGGAACCGTTCATGAAACATTGCTTATATACGAGAAGATAAACGACGATTAGATTTGTATTTGTGTTTGATCAGACTCTTGCGTAGACAGAGGACCGCATTTGAGTCAAAAACGATCTACACTTTGAGTGAATCGGTGCGTAGTTTTCTCTCGCTTCATCAATCAAAAATAGATGGGCCAATTACTTCCAACAACAGTGATGACCTAACTTTTCGAGATTTTAGAAGCAAAATTTAAGGACGTGATTGCGATATGTTTTGATTTTTTAAATTCTGCTAACATGTTGGACGAGAAAGGACGCTCAATGTACAGTGTTGATTGAATCGCATTGGCAATAAAAATACGCGAGGCCGTAGGCTACAATACCGATAGATCAGCCATCAAGCGGGAATTTTTTGGTTGTCAAGATCGCAATATGATCCGCTCACGCTTGACTACACTGAAACACGAGTAAACAGCTAATACGCACAAATCCAAGGTGCAACGACAAACGAATTACACGGAACCATAAACAAAAAGTTTAAGGTGAACTTTGAATAAATGAATGCCATTTACATCATTCATTGCAGTGCATGGTATTGAAACCACGAAAATCACTACAGTGTCTCTCCCACTAGGTTATCTTTTAGTTTATCAAGTCAAATCTCAAAGTTATGATCACGGAGTTTTATCCTCATTGACATTCTCAGTAGAAAACGATAAATAAATAAAATCAACAATTGTAGCATAAACATCTCCAATAAACCTCAAGAGGTTACATCAGTCTGCTATTGGGTCACACTTGTTTTTGACCGCCCGAGTCTACATGAGTATGATCACAAACATTGGCTGCAAGATCGTCCTCGCAACCGCCAGACGAATATATAAAAACATTAAGAACACATATAGAAGTTGCGGCATCGAGTCGTAATCATAAAAAATACATTTCATACCAATGCGCATTTGCTCCACGTGGTTACAGCCACTTGGGCGGATGATCAAGATTGACCACCATCGTCACTGTTAATTCACTCGGAAACATCTCTAACTTGATTTGAAACTGTCCTACGGCGCAGCAATAATTTCCCGCTCTCTCATTGCATAGGACGGAAAAAAGGAGTCGTGTTGGTGAATCCTTCCGTTAACTACGAAGTCCGTTGATTCGAATGGAGGTTTTATCGATGTAATCAACTGAAATGTTAGTCGTAAAATAATGAGCCAAGTATCTTTCAATCAACGAAAGCATGTTTGGATGCGTATTCTGGTCTACATGCCATTCGGTGGAAAAGTGAATTGGAATTGGCGGAACTTTTTGAAAAGCAGAATGTGGCAATGGTTCCATCCGGAATGCATGCTGTTAATTGTTTCTCAATTCACCGAGGTCACATCGTATGAAGTGTGAGTTTTCGAAAATTATTAATTGAACTCGTATTCGAAATCTCGTAATAAACATACTGCAAAATTAGAATCTGGTTCATCACTGATTGCTTCTCGGGAGAAAATGAAAACGGCACGTATTTTCAGAATAAGAAAACACCGATCTCTATCCAAGTCAACTGAGCATGCTGGCAGGTACAACCAAACAGAAATATTCCATGAGAAATCACAGATTATCTGTTTGGGGGCCTATGAACCCATTTCCTGCTGAATATCACGTACAGCTTTGCTTCCGTTTATCACGGGGCATTATTAATACACCACATATCGCATGGTATACTTTCGGAAGATTAGTGTAAAACATTCATTCTACCAAAAGCGAAGAGTATGCGAATGCGCTACAGTTTTATTTCAGTAATTCATGTCTCTCCATCTGCACTTCTACATGGACTCTTCTCATTCGAAGGAAAATAATTACCCGGTCTATTTTTACTGATTAAACAAATATTGTGAGTTTATTTGGTACAACCCGTTGAATAATTGAGAATTCTGTTGGCAAAAAGTGGCAGATCTGTTTTTCTCTACATATGGTCTCCTTAGCGCGGTCACATGATTCGAGGCATCTTTGCAATCGTTATAGAATGATGACTGAGAAAGCTGATATACACAGTCAGACTGGGGTGATACACAACTGCTCACACAGCACACGACTGTGTGCGATGATACCTGATAGGTCATACAGAACATATCTGGAAAACACCGACTGGCGAACAGGCTCGTTTTCAGTGTTCCCTAATCACGTAAATACAAAACAACGTATGACAAGATACATGAAGGATATAGTAAAGGAAGGGAGTATCAGGGAGTTTCGTTCAAACATACTGTGGCACAGATTACTCCGGAGACCGGATTGATCTTATTACGAATATGGTGCTGAATTAGAGTGAACAGGAACCCCTGAAAAAGAGCTTATTCATCAACCCGTATTAATGCAATGTGTCAGGTACAGTCTTATGATAAGAAGGTCAGTTACAACTGAAAATGATTCGATGGTCACCGAATGAGGTTGATTTGTATTACTTCCCTCCCCACCTAGCCACATGCACATACTTTTCCGTGAGTAATTTTGCATGCAAGCCAGACAGTATTATACGAAACCATTGTTGCGACACGCTAGATCTACTTGCAAAAACTAATACAGGAAACAAAGATGAATATACATGGCGTATACCGAAGGGGCGACGTAATCTGGTAGTCTATGAGGCATGAAGCAGATTGTTTTACCTGCATTTCCGTCAGTGAGGTCAGACTGTTTGCCGTGGAGAACGCGTCTATTTTCGCTTTAAAATGGTTCACAATGGATCTGAAAAATGCGAATATTCGATCGGCAACAGATGATGAAAAAGCTCTATAAAGAGAGACGACTAAAAAAGTATGAAAAAATAACAACATGGAGATTAAATACGTAAACATTCGGTGCAGAGTGAGGGAGGTTTATCCAGTAGGAAATCTGACCTTAAGAAAACAATGAACTGATCTGTAAACTAGTTCCCAATCGAGAATAATTCACCACAGGATATCCACTGCTCTATCGAACACAGTACACGTTTGTCAAACAAGTAAGAAGCCTGCGAACTGCCGAATTGCACAACAAGAAAATACCAGACCGTGCGCTACCAATAGGGGATAAAACGGTTGCTGAATTTTCATAAATCAGCGATTAAAGAACGTTTATTGCCTACTAAAGTGAAACAACAAATGCAGACTAATGAATAGAAAAACTTCTGAATTTATCGGTTACACGGGAGAATCGAGTAGTCTTCTACGTGGATGTCGGGCAATGAGGAAAGAAACGCTTTTCGTTTCTATGCTCGGGGTTGACTTTCACTGTCTTTTTTAGGCGGGTCAGTATGTCTACATTTCAATCATATAGCAGGAAGGATAGCGAAAAAAATCGAGTACATAAAATATGGTCGCGCGAATAGTACCAATCGTCGTATTCCATGTGAATTAGGGAGTAAACTCTGATAAATTGACAACTATTTCATCTTAAATGTATTATTTAGCAGATGACATCAGCAGTGCGGCCTAAACAAGAGGCTTAGAAATCATGAGACCTGGTTTAAAACCTTTTCCTAGGGTCCGATAAAAGTAATCTTTGCACAAATTATTTTCAAGTGTGCAAGAACAAGTTGGATTTGGTTCGCGGAGGCACGCAAGCCATCACACCACGACAACGTGCAGTCTCATCGTGACAGATGGGGAAACTTTACAATTCACAACCGTTGAGGCGCTGTAAAAGACAAATCAACCGAGATGTGATTGTGATTCACTAAGTACTCTAACCTTGTGAACAACACACTGATGAATAATAAATTATCAGGAAAAATTCCGAGCGAAATGCCTTAGTATTGCGGCATTCTTAGTCACAAGTCCTCTCCTCGGCGATTCGTGTTCAGATTAGTCAAATGAAAACCCAACGACCACAGTACCGTTTTCGAAACACCGCAACCAAGTAGAGGATCAGAAAGAAACGTATACCCACCCCTACTCACCGGATATTACCCATTTGAAGAACTACTTTAAGGGCAACTGCTTTCAATTCGGGATCAGCACTAGTTGAGTGAAGCAAAGCTGAAAAAGGAATAAACGAGAAGACGCAACTAAGTGAACTGATAACAGTGACCCGATCATCTGATGGCTGGGTCGGGAAAAAGCAATGAAACTTTTATACTAAGACGTCAAGCAATATTGCTGTTCATTGAGAATGAATCACGTTTTTTGTGCAGCAGAAACAGAGACTGTCGCCGGAGTCGATGTAAAACAAAAACGCGACTATCGAACTTAATGCTGATTTGAGTTTATAATCGGTTCAAAGAAAAGCGTAATTAATCACGTTTACGAAAGTTATGTGTATGCGTATCTAAAAGACACCTTTACCAAGTCTATTTGGCAAACTGTACACAAGCGGATGGTGGCCCATAACTTACGAAGAGTTGTCTTATTCGAAAAATTATTACCATTTCGTCGAGGGAATGATGCACATGATCAAAGAGAGCACAAGATGTGAGTATTAACTGGCATCAACAGAAGGGAATGATAGAGAATGTTATGCGCAAACAGATGTGGTGTGTGTGTGTGTGTGTGTGTGTGTGTGTGTGTGTGTGTGTGTGTGTGTGTGTGTGCGAAAACAGAAAGCCAGAAGAATGCTTACCGTATTCATGTAGGTTCTGGAACAGTTGATGCATTCGAATCAGTTCGTAGTAGAGGTCGTCGTACACACCTGCCGATTGCAGGAAGGCATCGCCTTGGAGAATGCACAAATTAAAAAGTTCTAAGACCTGAAATGAGGAGGAAGAGAGAAGATGAGTGTGTCTTTGTGCATTCTTTGGCCATCTGGTCACAAAAAAATGGCCGCGCGCAACCAGCAAAAGAAGTTAAATAAGCCAAGTGGTAGAGAGAGAGAGAGAGAGAGAGAGAGAGAGAGAGAGAGAGAGAGAGAAGCAAAAGTGAATGCCGACGGATGCATTTCGTCACGAATTTGTGTCAAAGTGATAAAAAGAAACCCTTTCACAAACAACATGTTCAAAAATGGAACAACGCTAACAAAACAGGATTAGTGAAAATAAAAGGAGCTCTGACTACTGATATGAACGAACAAGGACGTCATTTACCGAGAAGCGCGACGAAAATGAATGAAAGCATTGATATCACATACACCATAAACAGAACGCGTGTGGTACAAATAGCAGAACCGGACAAATAGGCATTCAGGTAGATCACTCATAACAGAACATTGAACACCGTATTCTCTATTTCTCAAAATGATTGACGATCAGAGACATTCGTCACGGTCAACTGTCAAAAAATACACCATGGAAATTCAGTTTGCAATTATTCTCATTGGTATAACTCGATACGGTAGAAGTATAGAAGAGTTAAGCTATTTGGTTTACAAAATCTAATGAAAGAACGCATGTCGTAAAAAGGTCCACTTATTAGCACACAAACAGCGGGTTCGTTACTGGATCATGTTCCATGAAAACAAAGAGCCAAGATGACTAGGTTTTCTTCTTCATTTTCATCGTATCGGGAAACTGGACAGGTCAGTTATGTGATGAATTTATCCTAAATAATCCCAATTGAATTTCCCACAAACTGTTTTGTGCGTGCAACTGCGGACGCGTGCAGTAAGGTGGCAATTTTCTGAGGAGTAGATAATGAGGCGCACCCAGCCTTGTCCATAGCTCCTTCGAAAGGCCGATTGCGTGTCGATTAAGGGCCCCGAATTACCTTTATTGTAATACACTCTAGGATGAAGGCAGTCCCCGTGCGTACAAATGTTCACGGGCACTAAAGAGAATCGGTGAGTCACTTAAGACCTAAGCAAATTGAGTGCGGTAAAGAATCTGATGACCATGAACATATCTGACAACAACAATATGGCTTATTTCGCAAACGAATTTTCAAGAACCGAACGACATGTGGCCGAAATTAACGTATTCGTGTACGTGTTACCTCATTTCAATATTCATGAGAGGGGCAATATTACACTATCCCCAGAGGTGTCCATTAAAGCCTCTTTTCGAACGCACTTCAAACGGGTAGCGGCGGTGTACTAGTCGAACGCAAACTAAACTTGCTGTAGGACACTCTGCATGACGTCATGACAATCGAATTATACACAATTAACAATTTATTTCCGTCTGAAGTATTCGCTCAGACACGAAACAATGAAAAGCATGTTTAAAAATACCCACTTAAAGCGATGAGAAACCTCGCACAAACATGCCCTCAGGATCGCATTCCGCTGGTCACGTTATATTCGCGTCACAAAACTCAGGTTGTAATAGGGTTGCACAAGCAAACATAGCTAGCATAAACTGCCACTCAGAGTCAACTGACAGCAACCAGTCGAACTGCGGGCCAGCAGAGATGGGCCGAAATATTTACACCCGCTTGTCAGTTACTATGACAAACTTGAGAAAGAACCGAGCGATGCTGTAACATTCGAAAGGTGATTTCGTCATGCCACTGTAACTGAGAACAATACGAGGAATCTGATCAAACCAGAATTGTTAAATCGGATGAAGTGTTGAGCAGTCAAATCAACTCACCTTCTGAATCAGACCGAGACCAACAATCACGGGTGCATAACTATCATCGAGATTACGAACGAACTGTAGTAAATTAAGCAAAGCTGAAATGAGAGTAGGAGAGAAGGCAGAATAAAACGATAAATATAACGGATAGCTCAAGCAGCGCATCCGTAACAAGTAGTTCGACATCAATTCACTTTCAAGCCTCATTTCACCATAAACGCCAATCCCTCCCTCCCCTTCGACATAGTTTCGGCCTGTCACATGCTCACTGTCTCATCTGCTAGCTACTTAGGGTGATTACTTTATCTTCGTCTCTGCCAATCACAGGTCTCCTATACAAGTGCGCAAATAACAGGGCACTGCTGCAAAGCCAACACGAGTTCTCCATCCATAATCGTCAATTATTAAACTTGGGCTTACATGCACTCGTTCTGTATGGCCCACACATCAAGGAGTTTGGGCAGAACAGAAACGACTTACCAGTGCCTGACTGCTCCCAAGTCTGGATAATTCATATTTAAGATAAATAATGGTATTTTTGGGCGAGCACTACAACGTACTCGCATGATCTGGTATTGGCTCTACGGACGCCAGATCGGGCAACACGAAACCAGTTTAACAGACGAATAACTAACTTATTGGCAATATGGTCCAAGATGAATTAAAGAAAATCGGGGTCAATACGTACTTGAAGAAAAACTTCATGTGAAATCTGTTCGATATCAGCGAAACCAATGACTTTCGCAGAACTTCAAAACGGCTCATTTATAACATCCACTGACCCTCATGTTGTATTAATTAGACTGACTAGACCACAGTCGTTAACATGTTTGCATCCCTTTGACCTCTTAATCGAAAACTCATATTATAGATCTTGGATATTACATCTGAAATTGGCTTTTATACCGAACTGATAGCAATGAGTCCATATACTTGTTCCATCGGCCGTTCACTACCGTCCCTATCCCCAATCAGAAAAATGGACGAAAGCTTATTGATGGGAATGGTGATCAACACACATATACACGCTTATCGCTTCTCTCCTGTTTACTTCTGATTGAAACTCAAACTGACACAATCAGACGCCATCCTACGTCAATTTCGCAACTGCTCTATCTCCTGTTTTTCTCGCCCCAAAGCCGGTATTTGCTAGTAGTAATCTGTCTACCGCCGTAGACGAACACTAGATTTCGACAATGCATACTGCGAAATTCAGTTTGCCCTTCCGAAACTTTGGTTCGACTGTTTTACCCATTCTTTATTTACACAATATACAAATGTATATATAATATTCGTACGGAGTTAGTGACCGCCCTTCGAGAGTACGCTCTAGGGGTGGGTCACCGTATATATTGTCCTGTATGTGAAACGAAAAGAGTGGAGTAAGTTGGATTGAAAACTCATACACCCAAGCCACCGTGAGTTCAACATTAACTACACTGTTATATTCCGTGCGTAGTTCCATAATTGGTATGAACAGTGGCTTTCGCATTCTGAACACAGAACACACCTGGGGCGTAAATCTGCGCTCATAGTTCCAGTAAAAACCCACTGAGTCAATTGTCCTTCCCACGTGCGACCACGACCATGAGGATGTCACTAACACCGCTATGTAGTCTTTCATCCTCAACATCCACATTCTACTTTCATTGTTACCCTAATCATAGATGGACTGATCTGCCCCGTTCAACTGTCAAACAGCAGACGAACCTCCTGGGGCTACAATTCAGCCAGGTAAGGCTATCGACTTACTTTGTCCTGGAATGGCTATCGCCCATTCCGACGTTATCACATCCGCTTTCAACCTTACTGATACCGTTCTCCAGAGTTGGCGCCGTGTTGTTCCACAATTTCTCAAACTCAATCAATCTCGATCTGCATAAAACTTCAGTCACGCGTGCCGTCACGCAGTGCGAATGAAAAACAGCACTTCATCTCCCTTACATCCCCGAATCTCGCCGACGCATCATCCGTCACAAAGCTGAATAGCTGCTTGCCCCGGCTACATATCCATTTGGGTCACTTACCAAAGCAGTTTCAATGACTCACCACTCCATCATTTCCCTGTGTCAGCAAATTTATCTAGCCTACCGATATATAAGCTTCAAGAGAACCTCTTTCTCTTGCCGGTTTACCCTAAACCACCGGCACTGACCCCTCTATAGTTCCACCGTTACATTCATTTCACAACTTTTCCCTCTTTTATGCCTACTATGAAGGTATGTCAGACTCGACAATCACTCGAGCCTCACAAACCAATCAGTCCAAACTGTTCTAAAAAATGTGACCCGCGTTTGGATCTCCTATACGCCACCTCTTCTCTCTCTCTCTCTTTACTCTCTGTCTTTTTGATAATCTCCTTATACTTTGAAAAAGCCGTGATTCTCTTCATCTTTCCGAGCTGCAACCACGGATTTAGTAGGCACTGTCCCGTTGTCCTGAAAAGCAATCTCGAAAATTATGAGATTCGTCACTTCTAATCGACAACGACTATTCCTTGAACATAAAGGATTGCTGAGTGGTTGTTACTACCGATTTTGTTCCCATTTGCCGCTCGCAATCAGCTACCCTTGATAACCAACGAGAAACACAGTTGCTCCCGCAGCCGAATTTGGTCCGTTGTATTGTCAACAGTGCCCACGTTCGGGTTTGCGCAGACAATTCGTATCGTGGAAATCCAGTATTCTCAGTATTCCAGTTATCTCCATTCGAACAGACGGAGTTCAAATCTAGCCTTCCCGTGCGAATGTTCTCTACCCTTAGGATTTTGTTTTTCCACTTACCGTCTTCCTATTTTTTCACAACGACATTTTATTCCTGACTTCCAACCTCATTCACATTTTTGACAATGACACCACCCAACAAGTCCCCGTCCTATTCTGCCTCAATCCGAGCCAACTCCAACATAAATTGCAACGACTAGCCAAATGGGCACCCCCTCATCTTGTATTATGTAACACTTCTTTCCATTCCTGCCTTGCTTTCTAGGACGACACATCCGTTTCCACGTCACACACGCAATAAAATTCAGCATACCACGTCCCTTTACTTATTCAGTTACGCCCGCAAGAGATCCTCTGAGGTACGCATGACAGCTGGTTAAGGCAGGGAACGTGTCTATTCAATGCGACGGCGGGTTCTCCGGTAGCGCACCTGCTTTTCATTCCCTTTCTTGCAGTCCATCATTCAACAGCAAAACGGTTGGATAACCTGGCAGTCAAAGCATAGTGGGGATCTTGCAGACCTCGGGAGCAAAAATTTGAACGTCTACTGGCGGAAGCATCAAGTCCTATTACCTGATCTGATTTGACTTGACGCATGCAAGCAGTGGTACAATAGGCCATGTTGTGAAACCGCTAAGGGGGCATGATATTTATGCGAAATGCGCGCGTGATATGTTTTTGCGTAGACTGCCAATAGATAATAATCAAGTCTGGTTTAGGAGTATTGAAGGTGGTGGGATAATCAGTCTATTCCACCAGTAACCTCGCACTTCTATGCTGTGGTTTCGGTTGCTACCATCCAGCATCGTCCAGTAAACGGCAAAAAGAATGGGAGTGTATTCGACAGAACAACCAAACTCGAGGCTCTAACCCAGGATCGATCTGACACCCCTACCCTCACTCTAAATTTGTTTTCCATTAACGTTTTGCGCCACACTTGCTCATTCGCTGAACCACACACCGGAAATCGACCTTAAGTGACCACTGACTGGTGCGTGCGTTAATTTGTTCTGTGACCCTAGACCCATATTTCCGAAAGACATTTCGTTGATTCGACCGCTTGAACCTCAAGCGATCCTGAATCTGCTCGCATTTGGCTGACTCTGATTCACGGAGCGGTTACTGTTGAGGTTTGTACAGTTTTGTGTCATATTCATGATTGTTTTATAAACAACCGTACTGAAAACCACAATTGGACGCTTGGTGTTTTTTGGATTGTGTTATGCGTATCTCAACGACTGCGAGGAGTCCGTTACAAGGAGCATAAAGTGGAAAAGATTCAAAAAATCAAAGTAATGAGCGGAAATCACGAAGACAAAGAACGAGTCCGAATACAACTACGCTACTGGCCGCAACACCTAACCATATCGCTTAGTGCTTCCAACCATTTGATAGGCGGGTCATGTGGACCCCAACTTGGAAGTCTAACACGTCCTGCTTGACCCAGTCCAGTAGTCAAAGTTTTCATATCTTTTTGTCATATCATGGACTGACCACTTCGACCTCCCTTCCGACCATTAACTGCCTCGGAGAACAGCGTACGCCGAGGAAGTCTATCGGTGGGCATGCGTACCAAATGTCCCAGACAGCTTAATCGGTTTAGATTCAGTACTTGGTCCAGAGACTTACCTCTGGCTCCCAACACCTTACGTCTAACCTCAACATTGCTTATACGGTGTTCCTGGCATATTCGGGCAATGCTACGGAGACATCGACGGTCAAACACCGATAATCTTTATCTATTTTCAACCCTTACCAGTCATTTCGGGAAACTGATTGGAGCCCTCGTAGTCCATTTCTCTACGATGCTAGCAAAGCCTTTCTTTTATCTGCATACATTGAAAAGTCACTGTTATTCACTGAAATACGGACTCAATCTCCATTACACCACAAACTCATACTTTTTTCTAGTTCACCTATATTCACAGTTTACCTATTAGGGCTGATTTCTACCTCAGCGACGGCCACATCATATTTTCCATCTCCACGAAAACAGGAAGAACATATAAGTCACGAGATGCAAGCATTTTGTTTACCCTTGTCTAACGCGTGTGCAAAACATTTCACTTTTACGTACGCGGTAGACAAGAATCAGCGAAACGCTTGCATCTCGCGACTTGTCTTCTTTCTGTTCTCATCAACGGGAAAAAGGAGACCCAATGCCTTAAATTTTTGAAACGACGACTCTTCTATGGTGTAACGCGATTTCTGCATCGTCTAATAACGCTACATTGTAAAACAGCAGTGGAAATGGCGCGTATTGAATTTCTCACTGAGTGTGTATGTGTGTTCGACTCGCTTTCCAAAACGATTCCTACAATTATTGTCGAAGGAGGGGTTGTCAAAGAACAATGTTAACCTCGTCCAAATCGCAAATGCTCACACTGAAGTAGCACGCGAAAATGTGTGCAAATTCATCGAAACACAACAACGTTTTGTAGCTCTCCTCAACTTGTTCTCGCTAATGTGTCGAATAAATGGCAGCTGCTTTATTGTACTATTCAAGTTTGTTTTCCTCTGAGTGAGCTACTGCAATTTACCTGTTTTGAACCTCGTATTGTTCGTCCGGTGAACAGGCGGTCAGTCATCCGTATCAGGCTCTTGTTCCAAGGTGTCCAAACTCTATCACACAAACCCCATTCTAGATTAAAATAGCCACACCGTGGAGAACTCTTCCTTTCATCATTTTGCTATCAAGCTTCCATATTCCGCTCTCCAAATTTACCACCCATAAACCGGTTCTGTCGTGAAATGTTCAGCCCGAACAACGGCGTGAAAATAGAAAAAAAGATGTTGCACATCACACTTACCGGACCACAGTTGTTTCCAATCGAAGTTCAGGCGGATTTTGTGTTTGATTTGGTAACACAATAAATTACGACAGATGGATAGGGATAATCTGCGAAAAATGGGGTAAGATGAAAATTGGTCCAACCACTGCGATCAGTACAACATTTTCATGGATTGTCAAAAACTGAGGTTCAGTGATGCGACGAGTTCGGTCCCAGTTTATCACCGAACACAGATCTGACGAAACATTACAGAAGACTTTCGAAAACGTGAAAATTATCAGGGTGCATATTACGCTGTAGAGGAACATAGCGTGACACATAACAGTGGCACTTTCGACTTTTGGTTTACCTTGTCGCCAAATGGCATCCCGTATTTATAGTCTTTACCCAACAGTCATTTGTTGACTTCGTCAATGAACAGTACTTATTAAGGAATTCTGTATACAGACAGCTATCACATTGCCAACGCTAGTTAAGGCATTTGATCAACCAAACCACTTAGAGTTCAGAGTAAATACCTGTTCGCTTCTTTGTGTACCACGTTAAGAAACAGCATGCTTCAATGTGTATCGCTTTCATCATGGGATGCCGCTAGTTTTTTCACCGAACTGGCTGTACTCAATTCAAACTCCGCTCGTTGTCTGCGTTGAGTAGCGTGGTGCGTAAATCAATCCCTGAAATCATTCGTCAGCGAGAGATAATGCGTTCAGATAACCGATAGAACTGCGGAGGTTTAGACACATCTAACGCACGAGTGCAACGACCAAGTTTATACAACTATACTTTTTTGAGTAAAAATAATCCTAAACAATGTTCTCCGTCTAAAAGACTTACAAAAATTTCAAGACATACGATCAAACGGTTTTCGGGGAAAAAGGAGAAAAAGGACTCACCCATACAAACGATGTGGAAGCCGCTTCATAAGATGACCCCGAACAAACTCGACGATTAGACCTGAATGTTTGAAGACCATGGATGATAAGCCACAGTAAGACGAAAACTCACTAAAACCGTGCCACTCAGCAAGACAACCCAACGTTACTGAAGTGACAACAGATGGAGTAAAATAATTATAACTGCCAACTGTACTTCGCTACTCGCTGCGTAATTAGACTATATGTCATAATTCCCCCACTGCTAAGCACATCCGATTCGCCGGTTTGATCTCAGTTTAACACAGATGACCCATTTAACTTATCACTTTTCGCTTCGAACCTCATATTTTGATGTTCACTATTCATGACTGCTGGTTAAAACTCTTGAATGTGCATTCGTATTTGGTCTTAAACCTTATTCTGCTGATCAAGATTAAATTCGTTGATAGCTGCTTTGACAATACCGAACGACGATTCATCAAGAATTTCGACTGCGTTCTGATATGACAAGGATTCGTGTGATCAGCCAGTGGAAACCGTAGTTAGGTTCTGTAGTGTGTTAGAAGAACAATGAGCAACTCCGTGGGTCAGCGTGCGCTAAAATGACCGGAGAACCATTCGGTGCGAAACATGTCATCAACCAATTAATTCAAAAGGAAACCGAAACTACAAAGAAAAGAAGCATATCCACCGACATTTACGGAGTTATCGTATCCGAGCCGATATCACTTCCTAGAGTATCGAAAAAACGATGAGCCGCAGGATATTTTACACGTAAGTGTTCACTGATCACTGACAGTCTTATTGGAAAAGATGGTAAGCGGTCGATGTTTCGGTTACCGCGACTAACCCTTCTCAAGGCAAGTTTATAATCGAATGATTTAAGGATGATAATCTTAAGCCACTGCGTGTCAAACGGTGCGTGTGTGTGTCTGCATGTGTGTACGCATGTGCGTGTACTGCGGGTGTGGGGAATGGGTCTCAGTTTCATCGGTGGCATCGGGGTCATTTGAAGACAACAAGGTGTTATGACCTTAAGGACGATTATTCATCAGTGACGTTAGTGACTGAAATCTCTGTCCCATCGTTTTGATGGAGACATGTAGGGTGGGTGGTGATTGCCAAAGCTTCGGCATGTAGGCGAACGGTGTAAATACGGTAACCCCGTTGAAGGATTGTTGTTATCGTAATCCAAGGTGCGATTTTCGGCGTGAAATGCGATTGCCGAGTCACGTAGCAGTTTCGTCAGTCAGTCTGGATTTTTCTTCCTTTGTGTTCCAAAAGCTTTAGTTTCAATTGCCTGCGTGTTTGTCCGATGTATTCGGCAGGACAAACCTTGCAATCGATCCACAGTACAAGTACACGAAGATAAATCGTTTGACACCCAGTGGCTTGAGATTATGATGCCAAGATCATTCGATTATAAACTTGTCTTGAGAAAGGTCCCCGCGGTAAACGAAACGTCGACTGCTTACCACCTTCGCTGACAACGCTGTGTTACTGAACAATAAGCGTTCACGTATTTACGGAGCGCAGTAAATGTGAAAATTAGTCACATTTAGAAGGGTTTCCGTGTACACACAAGAGTAAGGCTATTACCAAGAGCATAAAGGAACCAATCATTTCAATCACCACAACATATCAACGAGTAATTCACGGGGATCGTGAGGGAAGTAGAAAGAGAACCTCAAGACAAACCAAAGAGTCAGATTATCTCCATGAGGACTAATCCCAATTCCATCAACGCTAACAAGCTTGGTATTCAAAAAGGGGTTCCTTAGGCGACATCCACGTTTAGCCTAGGAGTTAGATAATGACCAAATACCACCGGAAACCCCAAGGGGATCAAATTGTCACACAGACTAATGTCATTATTTAGCACTGAAATCAGTGCTGAAGAAATGAAATGTTACACAGGAGCAGGTAGGAGTTGGGTTCTGCCTGCGCTGCCTCGTGTGAAATTATGTGCAGACACCGATTAACCCGTTGCGAAATAGAACTTTTCATGACAAGCAATGTGATTGATAGTAAGGGAGTGTAGAGTGAAGGTAACTAATAAGTTCAACCAGCAATTCACAAAGTTCGAAAATCTCGGACAGTTTGGTGACCACTTAATCGATTCCTGTTTGTTCAACATAATTGACTACATGAATGTCCAGACAATGAATCAGAACTGGCGTTTCTGGATGACAGGAAAACTCAATAACAAACTATTACCATCGCTTTCAGTAGTCAAAATAGACATTTGAAAGTCCAATGGCAGAACCGGGATTTTGGAACACAACCTTTTAATCCTTCACCATCGCCCATCGCCAGCTCATGATCACCCAGAGTTCGAGTCTCTGTTGAGATGTGATGTGCATTCACAGTGGATCATATCTGACAAGGATAACACGGTGCTTTATTGGTTTTATTTTTGATCTGGGGGTCGGTACTGCATGATAAATAATGAACTTGGAAATCATGAAACATTTCAAGCGCTGCGCAGAAACATCGAGTTAGGCGAAGAAATGTCATTGTTGTACCCATTCAGACATTCAAATATGTAGTTTGTTGGGCAATGAGATGCACAACGACTTAGGTGTTGGTGTGCAACCGTTAGTTGGCTTGACAACAAAGCCATTGGGACAAATTAAACAAGTTTAAAAAAGCGTGTGTAAAAAACTGATGAGTAAATGGCTAAAAAGGACACGTTTATGAACTGAATTTTAGCGTGAGGAGATTCTACACAGTGACCGCCTCTTACGTTATAATAAAATAAACAACTGCACCAAGTGGCGCTGCTTCACGATCTGAACCGTTATGGCTGCAGGCGTGGTAATAAATGGTTTGCGTATCGCTTTTCCAGAGAGCAATGGACAGGTAGACGACGTGTTTATTCTCTACAACTCAAAATTAGTTGTTTATTCAGGGTCTGCTGGATCCTCTTAATAACACTTAGTCAGCCACCCCGCTTACTACGGATGTTGAAAAGGACGGTTTCTGCCGTTTTGGGACTAAAAATTGCAGAGAAAAGAGAACGGTCCCATCGGAAGAAGTATGCTCAGTAACAGCACGTAGGCACATTATCGAAACTTCATTTCATTGCATTACAGACAGAATCGGATGAGTTGCGCAGCAAGCGTAGCCAGGAATACTTGCATCTCAGACACTCTGGGTCAGGATTTAAAGTAGGAAGAATGTGAACTACAAACAACTGAATACCCGTGCAAAATGATTGCTATTATCAAACAGCGCCGATTTAGAGAATAAATCCTATTTATATGGATGAAGCCGGGATAGATCATTGAGACGAGCGTGCCCACGCTGAAATCACTGACTAAAAACTATGTTGCAACCGAACAGAGAAAAAAAACTCGAACACGAACTGTTCTGCGAGGCACTGCACCAATACGAACCAGATGCAGTGATCACGGATCTTAGAGTTAAGATAGGAGTGTAAACTGTTGTCTAGCGTTTAAAAAACGACTGACGCGAAAAAGGGCGTTCGAGTTTATCATAAAATGAGAGGTATACAACAGAATGAAATGAATAAATCGGTCTCATACAAACTCACTCAAAATTGCAATAGCGATCGGTCGACTGGAAAAACTGGAGCATGCGTTTGGAGGGGACTTCCGACGCCTTGTTCGCTATGGGAACAAATTAGCAGGATGAAGAAAAACTCGGCGAAGTGTAAAGTTTGTACAGCAAACTGAACTAGCAAAACTGACAGATCACGGTTGAAACGGAGCAAAAGATTTTCACCGCACAAACAGGACCGAGTCCATCACTTTCTATGAGCAAGTTCATAAGCAAGCACACGGGAGCTTCAAAAATCAATACCACCTGGATAAGTCCGCGAGTGTAAGCGAGCTAATGCCCGGTAAACTAATGTTTAAATGTTGAGCCAGGAAAGTGGTTTGCAGAAGTTTCAACTAACTAGATCATCTCACGTCATCATTACTGAGCAAGAACAAACACCGATACTTTCTTTCTACTTCCTGCTGTTTTGGATACGAGCAATAGAGTCCACAATCTCAAGGTGCTGCTATGACTTTTTGCAGTAGATGGTAACACATTTCACGCGAATGGCTTCTGTTCAGAATCGCGGTTTTACAAACGGCAAACCACAGAAAATCGTTTAGCTTTCAAGATGCGCCTCAGTGAATCCTTTGTGCTGTTGGAATAATTGAGAGAACATGCGCTTAGCCGCATTGTCTTACATTGAGCTTCTGTGAAGATTTTTCTCAGCAAAGTTGTGACAAACAATGACAGGTAGTGTCCAAAATCAAAGTCAGAGTGGTTTAGTATTCATCAGAACAAACCCCTGGCCGATGGTTTGCATCTAACCAGCAGGTAGTGACTAGAACACAATTGGATCCACCTTTACCGTGACAAGCGTGTGGGCGCACGGACCTCCAGCCACGAGTTTAGCGTTAACTGAATTCATCTGTTGCGGTCAACGGAATCAACCGAAATTAGGGCAGATTTACGGATAATCTAAATTACGGACCAGTTCGATTCACAGAAGTACTGATCAAGTTTTTGCGTCCGCAGCTCCAGTGATAAGCTTGTTTTATTTCACAGTCGCGTTTACCATAAAACTGAAGACGAAAGAAAATGTATGCGTGACTGTGATTTGCAACGTATTGAATCTACCAATAAACAAGCAGCTGATAATGGACAAAGGGCATATCAAGTATGATATGCAATTAAAGTGACCGATAATCAAAACCAACTGCGCAATCGACTCTACCTGTTGGTGAATCCAGACGTTGAACGTGATATGTGGGTCATGCAGAATGGAACAAGCCAATGGATTCTTAAATGCAGAGAGAGAGAGAGTTGAGGGTTACACATAAGGATTCCAGAATTTAAGGCCGAACAGGCGCCGTATGAGCAGAAACAGCTATTTAAAAAAGACTTCACATAAGTTATCACTATGAGGTGTCATTTATTCATTATTCATAGGGATATACGGAAAATGGAAAAAGGATCGGACAATGCATCCAAAGCCACCTATATGATAACCCTGTGGTTTCAGATGACCACTTGTTAAACGTCCGACTAGGTTTCCCAGTTCATCATCCTGATCGTGCAGCGTTAAACAGTAAGGCAAGCCCAACTGACCACTGCCTTTCTCACCACGTTGCACGTTGAATTAAAAAAGTATGAATATACAAGATGGACAAGGAGTGGACCTACACAGGTGGGAAAAGGAAAGAACTCCCTAACAGATAACACACGGAACACACAGTCTAACTGCACAAACGCACATCGATCAATCATTCTCATTCGATAGAAAGTGACAACACGAGAGCCACTGTTCATGGTTCGCTGCCATGTCTCCACGTCTCCAGCCAACTGGTAGACGGGTCTTTTGGACCCCAATCACGAAGAAGTGAAGCACCTACTTTTCCTAAGTTCGCTGTACATTTTCTCATTCCTCGTCGCCACGTCATCTGTTGACCTCCATGTGATTTTTCCCTTCCTAGGTGAAACGGAAAATAGGACACGGTATGGTAGACGTGTGTTTGCCATACGTAACACGTGCCCCAAAACAACGAAGCCTACTAAGCTGGATACGCTGTGACAAAACGTTCTCCGAATTAGTACCCAATACTCGCTTTCTCACCTCAGCATTGCTCACTCGCCTATTCCACCCAATCTTAGCGATACTAAGCAAACATCGGTGGTCAAAAACCTCAAAACGACGAATATCTTCCGCACGCAGACCCCCAGCCTTGCAACCATACAACAAAACTGAACGCACTGCGGCACAGTATACACGACCTTTCAACTTCAGAGAAATATCAGGTCAGTGCCACACGTTCTTCAGTCCAGCGTACGCCGCTCGAGCCTTCGATATACGCGTGCTCACCTCTACCACCGTGCTCCTATTCGTCGTCACGACGCTGCCGACGTAGGTGAAGGGGTCGACAATTGCCAGCACCTCCCCCTAGAGCATCAAGCTCGGAATTGTTGACGTCTAGTCTTGTAACGTCACCTTACACTTTGAAAGTGCAAAGCGCATGTCGAATGCAGCTACAGCTCTTCCAAGTCTATCTAGTGCATGTTGGGCATGTTCCGTGGATTCGAACAAGCAGACAACATCGTCCGCGTAATTCAGGTCACAGAGTTTTTACTGTTTCCTAGTTCGACGCCAGCATACTGGAGATTTCGCAACGCATTCTACATTATCTGGCCCATGACGAAGTTGAACAGGAATGGAGAAATGGGACATCCTTGTCGAACACCGCTCCTCGTTTCGAACCGAGTGGATAGTTCACCGTAAACTCTTACGCGGCCAGAAGTATGAGAATACAATGATCTCAGTAGGTTCACGGACTTCTGGGACATACCTTTTCGATGAAGAACACTGAAAAGCGATGTTCGATCAACTGAATCGAAGGCGCCTTCCAAGTCTAAGAAGATGATTATTGTCGGTCGGCGATGCGTGTGACGCGTTTCAAGTAGTTGGCGAAGAGTAAAAATCTGGTCGATGCATCCTCGTTAAGAGCGGAATCCAGCCTCCCGTTTGCGGCTGTTCCTCTCGCGAGCCGGTGTAAGACGGTGTAGTAGAATGGAGGCTAGCACTTTGGTGACTATGGCAATTAGGCTTATCTCGCGATGGTTAATACAGTCATTGCGTATTCCCTTCTTGAAGATGGGAACAATCAACGACTCACTCCATATTAACGGAATACGCTCCTCGTTCTAAATGTCACGGAGCAAAGCGGTAAGTAAGTTTATCAAAACATTTCCACCCAGTTTGAAAAGAACTGGGGGAAGTTCGTCGGAACCGGCCACTTTCCCAAGCTTCAGTAATCGTATACATAACTCCACTTCTGCTTCCGATGGGGGCTCAAGTGATACCACCCAAGGAGTAGCAGTTGTTGATACAGAAGTAACTACACTAGCGTGCGGCCAGCTAAACTGTTCCTTGAGGTACTCGGCCCAACGGTCAAGCCTTTGCTGTTTGCCATAGATGAGTTCTCCATTTCTATCACAAATCGTTTCACTGACTTGGGTGCGCCGTCCACCGGTGTCACGAATAAGTTTGAACGGTCTCTGATTGTTACCTGAAGCAGCTTCCATTTCCATTTCTTCGGCTACCTTCACCCACCAATTTTCGCGATCATTCTTAAGGCTTTTCGTAACTCGCCTTTGTAGATTTCTCCGCATCTTATTCATCTCCTTACGGTTCAAGAAGCGACGCTTCTGCTCCATTATACTCAGCGACTATTGTGAGATCCAGTGTCTTTGATGGACAACGGATCTAGGACCACAAGCAAAACCTGCTGCAACGTGCATCGCCTGTTTGACATGAGCCAAATGCTCATCTACATTACCGTTCGTCGTAGATCCTAGCTCATGTTCTAACTTCTGCTCATACCGGGTGCGTACTTCTGGATCACACATACGTTGCGCAGCTAACCGGGTTTGCGGTTTGCGACGATGACCATGGAGCTGGAGAGATAATCGCGTTAAAACTAATGCATAGTCCGACTCTACGTACGTGGACGGGTAAGATCTACAGTTCTGAACAGAACTGCACCATCGGTAGCTTACTGCGATATGATCAATCTGGCTTAGAGTATCTGTATAGTTGGAGCGCCATGTCTCTGTCCGACGCGAGCTGTGTCGGAAATTGGTGCTAGACAAGAACAATCGATTGTCTGCACAAAACTGGAGAAGTCTATCCCCGTTATCTGTACGCTCAGCGGGTAAAGCACAACGCCCACCTAAACAGGCTTCTGACACACTGAATTTGTCAACTTGTGCATTGAAGTCACCAGCTAACACTAATATGTCAGAACCTTTACTGCTGCGAACGAGAGTGGCGAGTTCATCATAGAACTCGTCTTTCTGCAAGTCTGAGCTGCCATCCTTTGGGGCGAACGCCGAGATCACAAACAAATTGCGCCTAACACAACTATCCTTTCGAAAGCCGACTGACCCCTGGAGTCTCACAGCACATAAACGGCTGTAAAGCGGGATCCAGTCCAAAGGAACAGCCTCAGCCTTGTCAGTCAAGACTACTCCTACACCACGCTGACTCGCAGCTCGAGCTACTTCGTTTCCTGAAGTGCGCAGAAAATACCTCGATGAGATACCAGGAGCAGTTAGTTGAATTGCACTGCTCGAATCATGGACACACGTTTCACTTAAGCAGAGAGTTCACTGTGAGGGCTAGGCACGCCTGCTGACCGGCCTGCATGAGTGTACGCACGTTGAAGGAGCCGAGATTCAGAGGCTAACGAGGCTTGAGAAAATGTGAGTTACCAGACGGAGGGTTATTCCCGACACTATTTGACAGTGAATCGTTGCGAATATCGACCGTGTAATCAGTGAGAGCATTACGGGCGGATATATGGGACAAAGAGAGGTGGTTGGGGACAGAAAACAAAGGTTGAATAAGAGAGGAAACTCATTTTGCGGGAATAAGTAACAGCTTCAACCGTTGAGTAATTTTAGTATTCTGTTATGTAACCATATTTCCAGTTTGATTTAGCACTTTGTACGAATGTTCTCGAGAAGTGCGCATCAAAAAACGAGGCATAAGGATTCTAATCAAATTAAACGGGATGTGCATCATTTATATGGTATTTTCCTAGGTAGGTTAATTTGACTTAAGTAATTGATGTGAAAGTAGGAAGAATACACAGAATAGACCAATTACGAACCAACGCGCGAGTCTGTTGGCGCGTCTGTCAACTCGGAGGAAACCGAAACTAATGAATATTTTAAAAATCTGTATTTTCATTAGGAATTATACTTTTTCCAAAAACCTCTGACTCATGTTTGGGTAAACTGGTGAGTTTCCCCAAAACTGGATGGATGAACGTGGTTTTCCACGAGGTTACCTATTAATGATGTTCTAAGCAGAACATGACAGCTGATTTGACCGCTCAGTCACGAGAATGGCATAAAAATCAAACCTGTTTGGTGCAGTCGATATTACCGAAATGGTTGATCATTCGGTTCAGATAAGTTCAAGTAATCACTAACAACGGACTGAGTGCAGTGGCTTTGATTGCTACCTCTCAGTGGGAATCTCAATCAGATATTAAAAATAACAGAGCGAAAAGAGCAAGATAAGAATTGTAAATGGTAGTGCCTAGTCGACAAAGAAAGTTTTCGAATACAGGAGCGCAACTGATCACGACACCCAGCCGTATCCTCCAACGCATGTAACCATTTACCGCTGAAGTCTCTTGGACTCCAACCAAGAAACCCCTTACATCGCCAAATAGAATGGCTACACATGTCATACCTTTTCTCCATGTCATGGACTGGCCACTCTTACTCATCTTCCAACCACTACCGAAGAATTCTATCCGGGAGCATGCGCAACGTATGTCCCAACCACCTCAGCCTGGCGAGCTAGTGTTTCATCTAATTATTTCGTTCATATTCCTGATATTCTGCACCTAACCTCGGCATTCTTGATACGGCGTTCTCAACAGATTCTACCGATACTACGAAGAAATCGGTGTTCAAATACCGACAATTTTCGTATATCCTCCAATCACAGTGGTCATGTTTATTAACCATGGAGAATTGGCCCGACTGCTGTAGCGAACAGTCGACCCTTGACAGATAAACGGGTGTCATATCGACGCCACAGATGACTGAGGCTCGTGAAATTCAAACGAACCTTCTGTATACGCCAAAACATTTCATCCGATATCTGACCTCCGAGCGAAACCCAGCTGCCTGGATAACAGAACTGATGTTTTTGGTTTATAGTCTTTCTAGAAATCGAACGGTCTTGGTGTTAGACCAACGCAGTCCTCAAAAGTACATCGCACTTTGAAGGCGGAAACGCACAAGAAACACTTTTCAAGCTGTCTAGAAAAGCTTGCAACTTCCCTGTATTTTCACTCAATAGAACTACACATTCAGCGTCTGACACTTCTACGCCGGGTAAAATTACAATACCACTATCATCACGTGGCAAAAGGGTTGTCTCTAGGGCCATATCAATCAAAAAATTTGAAGAGAAAGGGAGAGATGGGTAACTCTGACGTATATCACTTTTCGAGATAAACTCGGGTGGCAGATCACCGTAAGTACAAACACGACTTCGGATGCTCAAATACAGGGGCTTTATGATGAAAAGGAATTTTATTTTTACACCCTTCAACAAGAGATAGCATCAGAGAACTGCGCGGTCGACTGCGTCGAACTCTGCTTTGAGATCAACAAAAACGGAGAAGATGAGCCTATGGAAAATGTCTGTTCTAAAAATTGTCGAACAGTGAAAATGCAATCAACACAACCTGGACCAGTTCCAAACCCAGCTTGATTCTCACGAGGGCAGTTCGTGCGCTTTAGATAAGCCGTGGAGAATAATACCAGACTTATTCTCCTTCGGTTTTCATAGGAAAATCTGCCGCCGTTCTGATAAATCGGTACAACCACTGATCCACAACTCTGGAACTTTTTCTTCCTCTCATATCAAACAGAAGAGTTTTATTAATTTCAGTGACAATGTTCAGTCACCGTCTCTGAAAATAGACGGAGGCAATCCACCCGGCCCAACAGCCTTCTGTCGTTTCAGGTAGCTAACCTCTTGGGGAACCTCCGTTTATGACATTCGGAACTAAGACTACCGTGCCACTCAGTTCAATTGTTGTGGATAAAAGCCAGTTAAACCGTACCACAAATTGCCCCGTCCAACTATCCAGACGACGCTCCTGAGTCTGAACTAGTGAGCCGTTCGCTTCCTTGATCAGTTCGCCAACGCCTGGCCTTCGTGAACCAATATTTCTAAGTAGACGGAAAAGGGCGCAGCCATCGCTGATCACCGCGATATTTTTCATCTCCTTACACTTCCCAATCCACCACTGCTCATGGTCGTTTCTCAGGCTCCCAATCAGCTGACATCTAACGCATCTCCGTGTTTCGTCATATCTGGCAACTGGAGAAATCGATCTGCGCGCATCGGTGCAGCTGAGGATATAGATATACATCATTTCTGCGTATCTGGCTTTTGGGCATTGGGCAGCACTAGCAGATTCAAAAAGGCCTCCTTGATTTCCGTCCATCGTTCATCTGGATCGTGGGCATTTGACTGCTTCGATGACCTGCTGAATAATCCTGTTTGAAAAACAGATCGACGGTTATCCTGTAGTATCCACTACGGGGGACGAATGGTACTGGCGTTGTTTCGGACACCGACGAGACGCGCGCGGACCAGAACGTGATCCACGTCTATAGACGTAAACCAAATGAATGACAATCTTCAATTGACCCGTGGAGCACACGCTGAGGGAGAGCTGAGATAACTCATGGTAGAAATCGCCTTTAGCCTCATGAGAGCTACCATCAGTTGAGTATACACAAACACGATAAACATGTATCGACGCTCCAATCTGTTACTGATGACATACACAGAACCCTCCAACCGTACTGCGCACGTACGACTGCTGACTGGAATCCAGGTGATCAGCGACGGTCAGCCTTAATGCTAGGACCGACGCCAAGGCCAGCCATATCTCGAGCACTAGACATCGAAGCCCCAGATACAAGAATAGTTCACGAATAACGAGAGTCAGAACAGCTCCCTCCAACCTACGACACTTGTGACACTGTCGTGACATCCGGTTCCCCCTTAAGAGACGAGCGTAGAACGCTGCGATTCGTAGTGTTTTGTTTTACGGTTGCCAGACCTGGCTACTTCGCGTTGGGGATGCTCGTCATCTTTCTGTGTGCGACAACCGCTGTCTCCATAGCACTGTTCGCGTCAGGTAGGAACATCGTGTGAGCAATCATGAGGCGCGTCATCACGTGTAAGGTACGGAAAGTGATAAGTGATGAAGTGATAACATTACAACACCTCCAGTGGCTCCGATATGGTTTGCGAATGTCGGCCCATCGTCTATCTGTTCGTGCTCTGTTTGTACATGTTGGGTATGGCTGGAAGCGACGCGGAAGTCAGGCCATGACTTGGCGTAAAGGTATGAAGAATCTAACAACAGCGCTGGCTTTGGTTTGTACCTCTCACCTTCCTGGGCAGGGCACAAGAGGTGAGAACTGTCGCTGAAGTAGAGACGTTGAGAGATATAGCTCACAATAGACGCGGCGTAAATGCCATACGACCTGTCGGTTTTACTTTCGTGCACCGTAAACATACAACCCAGAAAAAAACACGAAAACCTCTATGACAGAGAAATCATTTGTTTCGTTTATTTATTGACTGCTCCTTCCCATCCTGTTGTACATTATCCTTCCCGTTATTTTTTTGGTTTCTGTCAAAGTTGTTGCATTAGCACCAAGCTTGGCGTCAAGCCGGTGATAAATATATGAGTGAAACAAGAAGCTGAGTCTGTGTCTGATGGGTGAAGCTTTATCACTAAAGTTGTCTTGTATGTTTCGGAGATACAACGAGTATCTATTTTAAAAACTTCGAGAATCCTGGTTAGGGCAGCCTATTGCCACTTTTGGCAGTGTGCGAACGTCGAAAGCAGCAAATGGGAGGTAACTTTCAGGTCTCAGAATCGACTCTCTAGTTTTATCTAACTCGAAGTTATTATCCCTAACACGAATTATAAATTTTCAGTCAAGACTCTCTATGGCTTTTTACATCCATTTCGAGTTAGGATGTAAAGAAAGAGCAGAGAAATAAGAAATTTTCTACGAGGGATCACTGGAGATTTCGGAGCAGATCATACTTCGCGACTACCCTCATCACAGAAGCGGTTTTTCTTTGGGTGCCCTAACCGGAGCTTCTGACTAACAGTTAGACCCACAAAGTAGCGGGGCGTTAACTCAGCACGGGAACGCGAATGAAGCATCAGGTAAGAAACTTCTTCAGTCTGTCACACGGTTGGTCGTTACTAAAACCCGATACTGTACCGAAAAGCGGCGTAACGTAAAGGGTTTCCTTAATGTCCCGACAATGAGGGTTAGGCAAACTCGGATAAAATATTCAGATCTATCATTACTGTCATTACTAATATACAGGTGATATAAGTCAACTTCTGTCTAACGACCCAAGCGAACAGAAACGCTGAGATCTGGACAAAGGAAATCCAAAAAACCAATGAGTTGATAAACTTCGACAAAAACCTTGAAAGAAGACTAAATAAACTATTAGGTTCAACAAATGAAAACAAAAGGAGACCCAAAGAGCTTATGTTAGGAGATGATGTGTTTGAAAGCACAAATAAACTGTGCAGCGAATTATCACAATGCAGCAGTGAAAAGAAAAACTTTATGTCCCGTGTTCGGTAAGTAGAAGGAAGGTATGCTTGTATGAATGAACGTGCATGTAGTAGCAACGTACGGCAAACACAAGTACAAGCAAGTGAAAACACAAACACGAAGGCAGGTGCGTGAGTCACGTAGATTAAAGCGTAAGCCAAATGTACAATCGGATTAGACCACACAAGGTCATTCAATACGTCGTACAAGCTGATTGGTCAGTGCTGTCCGGAACGAAGTACGACTAATACCAACTATGTACGTGTATGTGCGAGAATGTCTGTCTGACCACATGAATATTCAAGCCAAACAACAAAAGGTTTCCTAGATGACCCGAATGCATGATTACCTATGGTCGGTCGGCTTACATAATGGACTACGAGACGCACCGTATCACGAATCAACAACTCGTGTTTAAAAAAACTTGATGACTTACTTGTGTGATACAGAGTACGATTATAAAGCACAGATGACAGCTGTTGAGCGACTCAGGAGCTGAAATAAATAAATGAAGAAGCAGAAGAAACTGAGGTGCAGCAGTGTTAATGACTGCTTCACATTCATCAATCATGGTACAAGGCTAAAAACTAAAATGGTTAATCTTCATAACATTGTTTTCGGCCTACAAAATGGAGTTTCGAATGTACGACGCACTTTTGACATCTTGCATGACAATGGAACAATACTCGAGGAGATCTGCCAACAGGTTTCTGGGCTCCAAAGTGGTCAACATGGCAACTTCGTCCGTTTCCTCGTGAGTTGGCACATTGTCTCCTGAAAAGCCATTCAATGGAACCGATAGCACTGTTTGATCTATCAGATCACCGCTACCGTGACTCATACGAGCGGATGAAACGAGTGAACGGTTCCGGTCAGTCGAAAGCGCAGCGGTGCCGCCTTCCATGGATGATATAGTCTGCCGATCGGAGTCTCGTGCGTCATCCGCGGGTACAGCCCGACCAGGGGTAGAATGATTTTGTATGACGGAGAATCCGATCATGGAGTCAGTACTGAAAGCCCTCAATAGTTTCTCGTCTGCAAATGAAAGATAAAACGGTTCGGATTCAAGGGCGATCGAGAAAAGCAGTCAAGCGTCTAACAATGTCGAATCCGAATTTCTCCCACCAACCCAAGAGTGACACAATTTTGGCCCCTAAATAAACCAGATTACTCCTGAACTTCTTTGGTAAAATACTTCTTGTGCGAATCAACGAAAGTTGAACATTCAAACAATCTTTCCGTTGTAATGGTATCGGAGCCGAAACTTTTGACGCTCTTCAACGTACATTTCCCATAGGCATTGTATTTCGTTTAAATTAGTGTATTATTCAATGTATTCAGTTCCTGAAAACGAAAGAACAAACTCACCTCGTAGAGATCCAGTCCGGGAAAGTGTATCGAATCCACGACTATCAGCCGCGCAGTGTGCATTTGAATAGGATAAGATCGTGGAAAAATGAGCACCGTCTTTGGTAATTGTGTACATGCACATTAGAAGGGAATCACAGGGTCTACAAAAAGGAATAGCGGATACAACTGTTAGAAAACGCACACGGTAAACTGGTTTCACAATGAACCCGTGGTAAACATGACAATTTTCGCTCACCTCAAGCTCACGTTTGAAGCCATATCACCCACAAAGATGGAACCAAACTGAGAGATGCAAAACAAAAGTTGGATAAGAGTAAAGTAGAAGAATGCACTCCGTTTCATTGTTAGTCATACATGGTAAGTGGATCATTTATAAAAATTAACCTGAACAAAACCAGCATGTAAGTGCTAACAGTGAATGACGGCTATACAGCCTAACCGATTGAGGAATGCAGTAGTACAATTTTAGTCGCCTATTCATGTGGCTTGCTTATAGACACATTAGTTCCCACCGCAATGTGGGGAGGATTTTGTTCTGCATATGTGGAATGTGGGCACGATAGCAAGACCGAGCACGGGAGTTGCTCCATACACCTAATCGAGACATTGTCATACTGAACCATCAACCACGTATATGTTTTTCCACTTTTGCAGTTCTCTGGCGTGGATACGACAGTGCTTCAAATCATAATGGAGTACTTAGGATTGAATGCAACAAGATTATAATTTTTTGGTTATCCGCAGTTCATTGATATGACAATTACAACTGAGGCATCCTACTTGCGCAACAGCATATTCACAAACTAGCTTTCACCGTGTTGCACCAATAAGCAGGTAACAACCAATGAGTACGAGAGGCGAGGCTAATTCATAGGCTTTAATCAAATGGAGAATGATGCATACCAAAAAGACAGAGAAAATCACTACTATAACGCTCGCCTCCGTTACTCCGTGATTTCTACGTACGGCCTATGCACTGAACCTCTGCTCGTTACTCCCATCGCTCCGGCCCTTCAATGATAAATCAAAAGATGGCAACGCGGCACGCCAAAAACGACAGTATATCTAAAGGAATTCATAACGCGGTATCCAAAGCGAAAATGGGACATTCCCGAGTTCGGGCGTCCAGCCAAGTTCATGCCCTGTCGGACCGATTAGGTTGATAAAACGTATACCAGACTGATTATTGACCACTGAACCGATGTAGGTCAGAATGGAGATAACTGCTCGATTAGCGGAAAGAGATTCATTGGTTGCTTGATCCGGCCTGGCATGCTCGAGCCGATTAACAGCCTGCTTTGGGAGGTTTCTTTCCACTTCCTAACAATAACCACAGATTTATTCTGAAAATTAGTAGCCCATAATGAAGTAAACGTTGATAAACAAAAATGGTTCCAAATACGAAAGCCAATGCCAAGAAATGGAATCTCGAGTGGCTAGCTGTTGAGATATGTTCTCACGCAGACACGAACAGTTTAAGGGAGCAATACATTACATTTTCACGTCATAGGGAGCCATCTTCTGACCCTGATGGATAGTCTGGTGATCACATATCGGATGAACTGTTGTCGTGCATACAGAAAGCCTGTTTGGTTTTTACAAATGCGTCACCTGTGACGCCGGCTTTGCGTCCGTTTGATTATCAAGGGTCGAGAACACACTGTGGCAGTTAGATCTGTCCCTGTACAGGGCTCAGAAAAGTGGCCAATACTAGTGGGAGGCACGCGAAGACTGCCGGTGTTTCACTATAGATGTCTTCGCAGTACTGCTCGAATATGGTGGTAACATCGTATCAGTAGTGCTCGGGTTAGGCGCAGGGAGCTGCGATCCAGATTTCAGTCACTGGAACAAGTGGTTAATCTAAACAGATTAAGGTTTTTGGTATACACATTACGTATGCCCACAGATAGACCTCCTCAGTGTACTTTGTTTTCCGAGGCAGATAATGATTGAAGAACAGGTCGAGGTGGTCAGTCCTTAATATGGCAAAAGGGTACGAAAACCTTTGGCAATAGACTTGGTCGTGCACGACACGCTAGGCTTCCGGTTTGGGGCACATGAGATACGCCCACCGCATGGTTGAAAACACTGAGGTACAAGGCTGCGCGCCGCGATCACTGGTGTCGTTGCGTCCAAGCTCTCTCTTCGTCTCCAAGGCCTTCGCCGATACCTTTACTTTCTGTTTGCTTGCTCTATAGTTTCTTTGTTTATTACCAACTCGACGGTATTGTAAGATAGCAACCGAAACCAGAGAACAGAATTCCGGGGTTCATGGTTGAAAGAGTTGAACTGCAATATGGGATCCCAAATTCCGAGCTAACCGTAGCCTGTGGTTTATTCAGCAAACGGACTCATTGCGCGAGTGACACAACCCGAAACTTTGACTATTAGACTGAGCAGCGAATCACCTCAAATTTCCATCAATAAGTACTTCATGAAACGCCGGGGCGACCAAAAAAGTCCCGGTCATACTGGAGGAGTATACCAAAGCCCTACCATAAAACCACCTTAACACACTATCAAACGGTGATACACGAGCCCGATGGTTATATGGGCCAACAAACGAGTGTGATTGAAATCACTGCGACCTTTTGGGACTTCACTAACAAACCCAGTTCATCACCAAACTACACAAGACTGCTTAGATAATCGCCGGACGTAACGGCATATTCATTTTCAAGACGTTTTAATGTTCAGTTACTTTCTATCCTGCACATTTATTCTTCAAACCAACAATGATATGCAAAAGATTCTTCAGTGTTGCGACTGTTCAGGTTATTATTCCCATTTGTTCACCCGAGTATTCAATTGGATACATTTCTAGTCTTTGCACAATCAAGTATACGCAGCAAGGCGGAAGCTTCCTGGAGTTACATGTGTGCTGAGTATCAGACGAAAACTTGTGACCAAAGCGATAAGTCGGGAATTATGGGCGAAACTACCACCCTGTCACTCCATGCACCCTGCGTCTATACATCCAACTATATACCTCGGTTGGAAAACTGCCAGACTCCTGAATATTGGAAGCGCAGCTGACTGGAATTGTCGAGTGTTTCCATAATTTGATGTCTGATTTTTCCCTCTGTCTTTAACGTTCATCACTTCACTGGCTTATTCTCGTCTGTTTTCTTTGATTTGACAATTTATCAAGGTCAGTTATGTTCAACCAAGAAATTCGGGTGAACATTGGTGCACTTCGCACAATTTACCTTATTTTTCTGTTTTTCACTGCGTTTGTGCCTATACAGTCTGCTGTGTATTTGGTGCTGTTCTTCATCAAGCTGGTAGACAACCTATCTGCGGACATTGCAGGTATTCCGTGACCAGCGTCAACTGTCGTGTGATCATGGATACGACCATTCAGCAGTGTTTCTCCATGTTGTGTGACAGGTATGACCGGTTGGAAGTGAAAAATCAGCAAGAGGCAACAGGGCGATAGTACTATCATGCAGCCGATAACATTGTCAGCAGTCAACCATGCACAGCACTCGGAATCACTGCAAATAATTGGATTAAAGAAGTGGCTCATTCAGTATTAAGTCGGCTAAAATGGCCTCATATGTGCGATCGAGGTGTTGTTTTAAGGAAGTATCGGTTTTCTCTCTTTCTCTCTCACAAACACACATTACCGAGCTATGACCAAATAGATTACTGACAGAATGCCAGTATCTCTGAAAGATGTGGTACATCCAGAACTACCCGATAATATTTTAATATCCTGTCGACCACGTTATCATCATCCATGTGATGAGAGACGATAGTTCCTGAATCCAATCTGATGTGGTTTGACAAAAACCAGGGTAATGTATTGCACCGATCATCAAGCAAGCGTGCGACAACACATCTTCGACTGAGAACATTCCAAGATGCACTGACGCTTCGCACCCATGCAAACTAACACACTGTGGTGGGTATGTTTTACTCATCAAACCATTTTCTGAAAAGTGATGTTGCTGACCTTCTTTCACTTTCTTTCTTTCACGATGAAAAGACATGCGGAAGCGGAGCAAAACCTTTGTACACCACCAGGAACAGATAAAGACATCACAACAAGAAAAAGTAATATGCCATAGGATAGGAATTCCTTCCCCTCCTTAAACGAGAAAAGACCCAGAGTAAAACGCTACCCTGCAAATTGGACTTTCGGGTCATTATTCGGGATACACGTTATCCGTGCATGCATGGTAAATGTAACAGTAGGTATTAAATTTCGGTAACTATTATACCTTCGTATGTCTGATAGTAAAAGGAGATCTGGGTGCAAAAAGTCACTTTTTAGGAAAATCGAGTAACGTGCACGTTTCGCACACGTTAACATTTGTTTAACATTACTAGTCATTCAGAAAAGATATGGATACCGCTACGACAGTTTGCCCCAAGTCTTGCTGTGTTGGTAACTTCGCGTTTGACGACCGAGAGCAAGCCCCTCCTTCCGCCTAATGGATCGTATTCCCAGGATTGGAGAGCGGCTTCTTGTTCTGTTTCGACTCTAATGAGAAGACTCTTCTGGCTTCGAACCATCTCGATTTATCAGTACAAAAACAATATCTTACATATGATGCATGGTGGTTATAGCCATATCTTGGCCCATCAATTTATTAGGCCACCTAGTATTTACAACCAGCTTTTCCGAGTGGTTACTCTGGTTACAAACCCAGTTAGTTGGTTCAGTTCAGACGACCGTTGGCAGTTGATTGGTTCTTTGGTCTGCTTTGTTACCCCTAGTCTTGTGCTTCATTCAGGACAGACGAAGACTTGCTGGCTGCTCGCGAAACCATTATGCCGTCTATTAAACGAACCAAGACGTCTAATCGCAATGAGCCAGCCCATTTCCTCAGACGCTTGATCTCATATCCCAACAACGATCCTTATATCACAAACATGCACACGTCAAGCAGTACAAGTGCAACAAGAACTGTGGCTATGCCAACCAATCAGCTCCAGGCAAAGTGTATCCGCTCGCTTATTGATTGATCGCCGGATAGGTCTGATTGTCTGTGGTCCGGCCGTCTTGTGCTGCTTAGTTAGGCTTCTTTCACGGTTTTTCCATGATGTCGTACACGAATCTCATTTAAGTTCCACGCTGATGAGTGGCTTTGAAACATTTGGCTCCAAGTCATATGCGTAAATGACCCCAATGTGCTAAGTTTTTGAATCCACCGGGATTCGAAACCACGCGTGCTCGTCGCTCACGCATTGGTACCGCGCGTGCTTTACTAACTGAGCTACAAGGAAACGTCAAACGCCTTTGGACATTTCGCAAATGGATCATACTGTGTAACTGACCATATGAGATCAGCACACAGTATCCGCCAGTGAACCAACTTGTAATCTGACTGCCTAGTCCGGGCTTCCCTATGAACCATCTAGTCTTTATCAGTGAAATACGCGATCATGAAATATGGTTTGAGAGGTGTTGACAAACGTTGAGTCCCATTTCTGTTTAGTTATATAACCACCGATCAATTACGTAGTGTACTTCGACTAGCCGTATCTATTTGATCGATACTGTTGATCGGGATTCGAAGTACACCTAGAAAGATAAACGGTTGCTAGATAAAAACAAATAACCAGCGGAAAAACAAAAATGCTGTCAACCAGAGATCACATTCTCCTTGTACCGTGTGTTATTAAACTGTACAACATGGAAATCATATCCCATAACAAATTCCCTGACCCATAGTTCCAAATAGTGTAACTGATCTGCAAAACAAAAGTCTTCCGTCTACCAATCAGCGAGCAGTGGTAAAACAACCGAGAATCAGAAACAGATGGAAAATACCTTCCTTTTACACTGAAGCTCTTCTATTATGAGACTCTATTGATATAGCAAGTTGTGTATGTACTATGGAATTCACTGCTCCAGTTCGTGATTTTGGTGAGTTATTTAAACTGATAGTAATTAGATGATGGAAAACCTACCGGAGGATTCGCCGTACAGCAACAGCTCAGCTGGTAGAGCAATTGCCTGGTAAGCGGGAAGTTTTCGGTTTAATTCCAACTTGCGGCATGTATTCTCATACCCTTTGTCTAGATTACTCCGGCTCCTCCAGCCACCAATAAATTCCACACATTAGTTAATAACATAGTACTGAGTAAAACAAATTGGTTTATCACGTGTTTAATTTACTTCTCATCGTGAGTGCTGAAAGAAGACTGAGTTATCAGGTGCGGTTTGGTCGATGTTGACATGAGTGTTCATTTGTGTCCTTTGATGAAACTCGTGTTCTCAATATAGAACAGGTGGCAGGGAGCGCACATCAAAATGTCGTACGCTGTAATGCTTAGGTATTGGGTGCAGTTTTCACCATACAGTGCACGCAACCAAAGAGTGTAGGTGGCCTATAAACTGCGACGTAAGCCTTAAAAAGGAAAATATCGTAGTATGATTCATTTATTATCCAAATGTAATAAAATGCTGTTTACAAACAGTTTCTGTCTCGTTAAAAAACCGAACTTCGGATCAACGGCAACCATGAACCACAAATACACTCGGTCGCAAAACACCAATAAATCAAATGATCTCCACAATACAACTGAAAGAGACGGGTCACACACACACATATGAGAAAGGGAGAGGATGCTTGTACCGAACAGATATGTACACGATGTGTTGGCAAATATCTGCAGGGGAGAGACACGCTTTGGGTGTTTTCGTTAGGACAGAAAGGTAAGACTGATAGACATTCGGCAGGTATGACAGACCTTCAATCCAAAGGAGGGTATGTCTCTATACAATGACAACAACTGAAGTAGTGGTAGCATTAGTAGTATTACCATTCACCATTACTGTTATCAATATCATCGAAAAGTCATTTAGCCACGTAACAGTCGGCACAGAAAACAGCCAAGCTGAAGTATATAGATCGAAATAACCTATAGATACGAGACTGAAAACTCACAAAAGATGATACCGATGAAAAGAATCCCACGGACGGATCATGTTGTTGCCGGAATCGTCTAAAAAAGATGAATCGAATCAAAAAAGAGTAGAACACAGACTGACTTTACCCACATTTAGTAGAAAAAAAAAATTCGAAAACAGAATTCAGCTACAATGCGTCTCGATTTCGGGCAAGTTCAAATGACAACGGTCAATACAGAACTCAACCATATTGAATAATAAGCTTCTGGCGAAAGTCAAAGTATAAGCCAAGAAAACTAGGGAACTTTAAATAATCAAATTGAAAAGAAAATCAGTTTTTGGGGACTGTTGATCTTTGGATACAATGTAAGTAGCCCGTGTACAAAGACGGAAAAAACGGATGAGAAGCGCCAACTTTTTCATATCCAATAGCATTCAGCTATTTTAGCAAGGAAAAATACAAACAGAGATGATCGTCACAGGAGTCAAACGCTGAGCGCGTTACGGGTCATACCTTTGCAAAAAGCCAGTAGTGTCGATGTTTAACAAACCGTTGATAGCTAACCCCGAAAGTCTAAGGGTTAGGCATTTGACTCACAATCGTCCACCTCGGGTTCGAGCCCCAGTGGAGGCTCGATGGATGGGCACTACTGAAAATTTCTAACAAGTACGAAACAGTTGTCCGTTGGTTCCATAGCTTTCAAATAAGTTGAACGTTGGTATTGCATGATGAATAATATTGATTATAAACCAAATATCCCAGTACTTAAATTCATACTTCAGATAATGAAAGACATTTGAAATTCGCGAAATCATCACACCACTGTAATCATCATTAGAACGTGAAGAGCCAGCCCGGATAGCCTGGTGATTAGATGTCCAACTCATAACCGTTCATCCCGGGTTCTAATCCCAGCGGAGGTTCAGTGAATGTGTACTGTAGCTAATTATTTCTAACAGGGGTGAAACAGTCGTAACGCGTTTCCATGGTTTTCGATGAGGAGTTGAGCTTTGATGCTGCCTGATGAATCATGTTACATAAACCTTATCTCCTACTGTCTATATATAAACGGATAGAAAAAATGAGATTGGAAATAACCACACAATCCGGTTACAATGACTTTTTTGTTTATGTATCTTATTTTGGGGCCACATTACATGTGCATCGGAAAGACGTGAATCGATCCAGTGCATTAAAATAGATTGAGTCAACAGCACACATTTAGAAAGCAGTGTCTTATCAGAACCGAGATTGGCAGAACGTTGGACTACATTCTAAACTAATCAGTTGCTAGTGAACCGTCAAACAAGCACAGACGATTTGGTGATGCTTAAATGAAATATCAAGAACGAAAAAAGAGATAAATGAAGAAAATAACGTGAATGAGATCAGAGTTGAACAGGAGAGAAATTCGGTAGGTGAATAAAGCGTGAGACCGGCCCACGGCACCCACAGATGAAACGAAAGTAAACTGGCTCTGAGATTATGCTGTTTACTGGGCTCATGTAGTCTCGAGTCAGAAGAAATCGCTTTCGAAAACGAAATCACAGTCCCCATCATCTTGTTAACGGCACGCCGAAGGACACTCGGATTTAGTTTGTTCTATAAGTCACACAAAACGATTCCAAAAGTCACGGTCTGCTGTAAACAGAGCAAGACTTAGAAAATACAGGTAATCCGATGAGCACAGTTTTACTGGGCAGATCTGCTAACTGTTTTATCCAAAAGTACGGGGTTTTTGCATACCCAACTTATGTTGCTTCGCTTGCATGCAAGCAACTCAATCGGTTCTAATGGGCAGTTGCAGAGAGTGTATCATAATGTGATGAAACTTACAGGTTAAATTCAGAAAGGGCCAGGGATATGGTCGAAGAAACCCCCTGAAATAAAACGGAAAGGATTATGCTACATGAAATGAGCGAAACCAAAAGCAAATCATTGATTCGGGGCATAAAAGCCAACCACTAGAAATCCAACAACAATGATAACGACAAAGTCTTACAGATACTAGAGTGAAACAAGACATCATGCGCGCGGCTGTATGATTGACAAGTGGTGGTTAGCTGATTGACCGATTCATTACTCTACTAATCAATGACTCGGTGACTGAGTTATTCATTCATTCATTCATTAGCTGACTGATTTATAAGTTGATTGTTTTCTCGATTGATAGGTTCATAGATAGATAGACTGATTTATTGATTTGATTTGATTTGATTGATTGATTTGATTGATGTGATTGATTGGCTAAGTGAGCGAGTGAGTGAGTGACAGCAAGAGATTGAGAGAAATCAAGTGGAAAAATTGCAGTAGTGATGAACTCACGTTTAGAAGTAAATCGTCGTCTATAAGACAGAATCGTTCCATGAGAGACTCATCCACCTGAAAAGACTATCGGTGGCAAACACGATAGAGGTTCACGTGTGCGACGATACACAGATAACGCAGTCAAACCAATGGGCCACATGGCCATTTAAATAAAAAAAAATACTACTCACCTAACCAAAATGTACCCTTCGTACAAAATCTGAGCAGCTCAGTTAGGTCCTAAATTGACATTTAACTCCAGTGTAAAAACCATCAGATTCGCATATGTTGATTCTTCATCGCATCAGTTTCGCCTTAGTCTTTGCAGAAAACCCAACAGGAGTCACTATGTTAAACCTCAGTAATTTCGGTCAAAAACCCGTATACTAGAAAAGTGACATTTGATAGCCAGACGAGGAGCCCGTCAAAGAGCTACAGGTGTTTAGCGGTAGCATAAGGGTTATCTTATTAGGTTTCAAATCAGTTGAAAAAATGCAACCTACCAAATTAAACGTCATCATAAGCTAATGCATACTGCTAATTTAAATTTCATGAGCGGACGATGAAAGTGTGGCTCATTAGTACCGTTGTAGTGTGTTAGCCTCTAAGACCTCGAAGCCCACTCTTGATAGATCACAGAAAGTAAATAGCATATCTACAGTACTCCCCCGTATATCGAGTTTTGAATCATTAAAATCCCTGCAAGGCCACTGAACCGTGGCACACGGCCTTCAAACTACGGTGCACGGCTATTAAGCCAGTGAAAATACTACGCAAGACTCCAAAACCGAAATGAGATAAAACCACTACGCACCTCGTGCTGAGCGAACTGGATCAGTAAGCCAAGTAATTCGCAGGCAGCCATTCCATGATGGTACCGGAGGTGCGCATTCACCAATGTTAGTCTGAGCAAATCAAAGATCTTTTCATCCATTAAGCCCACAGCAAAGGGATTTTGCCAAAACATTGGACTCGACTGAAGCAAGGAGAGGGAAAAAAAAGAAACAATATATGAGACTCAAAAACCAATTGAAAACCAAACTTTCACACAATTCTAGTAGCTGAGTTTGACGTTTGGGTTGTCAACATGTCGTCATCAGTGAGTACTGACGACATAGCAACCAAACAACTAAACGAGATTTTGCAAAATACCGTTGTATATATACTCAAGTTAATTAAATGTCGTATTTCACAGGCACGGAGAAAGCTGCCGATTGTTAAAGAACTGCTATATTTCATAGATGGGGTGTTTTGTCACTACAGACAAATCATAAGCAGCAAATTCATGATGATCTTATTAACGAAGTTAGAAAATCACAACTGCTTTCTCCTTCTACCCGTTTCCTCATTTTTCTCCGAATATTTTCGATTTGTATGAGATTATCCATGATTATTTGTAAGTTTGAATGAAAATCTCGTGTTCAAGTTTATGTTTCTTCCCCCATCCCCCCCCCACCACTCTTTTACTATGCAACATATGCGCGGTAGATTTACCGGAAGGAGATGGCTACGCCTAATCAGCTCCCGGATGGGAAACTGAATCAACGGCGAGAAGCCTTTGGTACAGTTCCACGACTGCGAGTTTCAAATGCTAATGCTATCACACAAAGTAAACGGAGAACCTTTGTCTTCATTTTTCCAACATTTGTACTGACTTTGATCGTTCCGAGAAAATGAACATTTTCCAGACATCATTCTGGACTTATTTCCTGCACGATTTACTCTGAAGCATGACTATGACAATGCCTTGTGCATTCAGTTGATTGTGATTTAATTAAATTAGAAAGCAGAAAGTCTCCATGGACTTCGCTTTGTAAACTTTAGAGTTTTTGCTATCTGTTTGCACCCTGCTCGTGTTTTGGTATCTTGAAATACCACACATACCTTGATTCTCAACAGAACACGTTTTTTCGAGTGTCCTAATCTGTCAGTTTACAATTCAGGTGAAATGCATTTTAGGCAAAGCTCAGTCTTTCTAGACTGAAAGTCAAGTGAATGAGGAAGCGTACCTGATTATCGATCGATAATTCACTCATCTTAGCCTACAACAAATCACGGTCATTCGAGTCCATTTCAGAAACGTGTGGACTGATGACGCGAAACGTATTCGAATGCCTCCAAAGTCACTCAAGAGTTCACCTGCAGTTATGGTGACATTTACATAGGCAGAACGGGCCGGTATCTCGGTCGAAGAATGGCGGACCATGTAGCGAAGCCGCTAGTGCAGTGGGTGAGTCAACTCTCGCCCGGACTGCAATGGCCACAAAATACCCGGGATCCATCGGTCATGAAACAACTTGTACCCTTTATATATTATATTATATATATATATATATATATATATATATGCGAGGCGCAAGGGCATGGTTCGATGAAACGCACTGTTGATTGCTGCATCCATGTTCAATGACGACGTCTTGAAGAAAGCTGAAATTCAAGAAGACCATTTTAAATCGACTTATGATTTGAGCGGTAGAAATTTTTCCGCTTGGACAACTGAAAGCCCAAACTGTGAGGGAGAGTAAGAAACTAGGTATTCATAGAGAATGTTATCATGATGAGGGTGGCCACCTCACATAGTAGACAGGCAGATACATCACAAACCGTGAGTGACACTTACAGTGGCAAAAGTGCGCACTGAGTTCAAGATAAGATCGCGTAAACGCTCCGGACGGTCCTCTCGAAACATGTCCGAACACAAGCTGGTGTACTCCTAAAACAATAGGGAGTTAAGGAAAACCAGGAACATGAGTGAGGGCATTATAAGAAAATCAAACTGGTTGTCTGAATGAGAAGACCAGCAATTTTTCAACATCATCCAAATATTCATTATCTACATCGTCATCGTCATTATTAACAACATCGGTAACGTGCAATGATAAATAGTGAAGCGTGGCACATGGAACGTAACATCGCACTGTTGACACGAGCGAGAGATGGATCTTCCAATGGCAGTGGGAATTAAAATACAGGGCCGAAATTACACCCGGGGCATCACACGAAATACACAGTTGTACCGGGTGTGTATGCTGCATTTCTAAACAGTCTAACAACAAGATCGCGGATGTTCGCGCTTCGCCACCATACAGAGTGTCAAACTAGTCTCTAACTCGTGGTGGGGTCATTGAGTCCCAATCGACTTCTTTTGCATTTAAAAAGAGCAACGCTGCGAGCCGGAGTCGAACCAGCGAAATTTAACTTGCCGAGCAGATGTTCTACCGCTGAGCTATCGCGGTGCGGCCAGTCAAATATGGGTAATGCGAATGAATATCCCATATTCTTCGGCTCTTACCACAACACACGTTGTCTACAAACGACACATCTTAAACATATTTGCAAATGTTACGACTACTCACTTCAATAACCTGCTTTCGAAAAATCCGAGCTTCTGCAGAAATATTAGTTGCATGCTTTTGATTCATCTTGTCGGTGGGATTCAATTGGGCTAACGTGCGTTTACGCACTTTCCGTCATCAAAATCTACCAAGGTGTAATGGTCGGTCGTTGTTCAGTTTTTCTGAGTTACATTTATCCCCCCACGAGACTTCATGTGCACGTTCTCTGCACTGATCCTCTGTAGGAACAAACATTTCTTTCTTTTGTGCTTATAAGTTTGAAAGCCGCTACTCCACTGATGCATTTTTATATGCTTGCGCATGAGTACAGTAGAAGGACTACATTCCATAGGCATAAAGGCCCACTGCATTCTTGGAGATAACCGGCAACCAGACCCTGTGACTTGAAGTGGATGACCATATAAGGTCCGAGTAGACAGTGGAGTGTTCTGCCAAACGGAAAGAGGGTATTCAAGTGAACTAGTGACTTCAAATGTCTCAGTATGGTCAATGGTGGGTGTTTCAGTCACCGAGATGACTACTCGTCCTGAACGCCTCTCCAGATACTCTCAGGTGACAGTGCGTTTGTTACAGCTTCTTCTGAGGAGGTCCTACTCACATCCTTCTCGTGCGGGGGTGTTTTCACCAAGGTGAGAGAATGAAAGCGAATGTCCGGCGCTCTACGCCGGATTGACTGGTTAATAGTCAGTCTAGGGGATATGACTAAACCATGATTCCAAACAAACCACAGGCGGCGTGTGAGGCGTACAATACTATGCTCATCGGTATTTGTGGCGGAGAAATGTACTGGGCACCCAGGATGTTCCGCCAAAGGGCGTATAAACTGAATATTCAGTCACCCGCCCCCAGATGTCTGCGATACCTTTTTACCGTCCTACTGTCTTGTAGGTTTGACGTTCTGGTCGAAGGCTCGGAATGGGGCCCCTTAAGCCAACCCCCTACTTCGGTCTAGGCAACCGGATAGTATTCAGCCCACATGCTTACACGAAATCTCCACACATATGATCACTCGTTCTTGCGCTCGACATTACTCACTCACTCACGCTACACTAAATATGACCGGGGTGCTTGCGGTCGGACAAAACCAACTACCTATTGCCACACCACCCATTTTCATTCATTCTTTTAAACACAACAATATTATTACTACTCCGTATACTTCTATTTCTATCGACGAAGACGCTTGGCATGCGATTGAGATTCCTCCTGCAATTTTGTGCAGCTCATCACAACCACTACTGAGACGACATGTGCCACTGAAGCTTTCAGCCTTCAATGTACACACTCTGACGCAAATAGGCTAATAAGCAGCTCTATCGTACACTCACGAGAAGCTGCCATTGAAGTCTGCTGCTTGTCTGAAACTCGCATCCAGGACCCCACCATAGCAGTTCGTTTGAATTCGCCTTCACGACATGGTTTTACTGTGCGCTCATTCGAAGATGCTGCGGCCTCGGCATCCGGTTGGGCAGGAGTGGGAATCGCTTTGAGTACCACAGCAGAGTCTGCGCCACGCGACTGGGTCCATGTCAACAGCAGCTTATGTGCGATTCGCTTGGAGGGTCAGCTCAAAGCTGACAAAGGCCACGATGGTCGCTGCCTACCCTCCTACCGGCTGAAGTCCGGATACATTCAGTGATATACTCTACCAGCAACTTCACGAACTTCCTCGAAAGGCATCGCGTAGAAACAGTGATACTGGCTGAAGATCTGGGAGCCCAGATTGGTCACCTAGGTTCACGAGAGCGAATGCTTGGAGGCCAAAGCTGCTCCACCCATCAACGAACGAATAACGGTTATCGACTGCTTCACTTATGCACAGACCATTGCCTATTCTTGTCGAGTACGAACTTCCGGCACAGCTTTCGTCGCACAGTCACATGGCGACCGCCATCTGCTAACCAGTCTTGTACACGAACAGACTACATAGTTGTAAGTTACCACTGGCTTGGATCAGTCAAGTTTTGTAAGTCGAACTGGAGAGCACAGTTAGATTCAGAAAACGTCATCTTATATGCCAAGTTCACAGTACGGTTTGCCACCAAGTCAAAAGTCCACCTTCAACGGGCAGACGTAAACCAACTTTGCCGGATCTCAGTCCGGGAGAGGTATCAGAATGAGCTAGCCTTCCAGCAAAGTAGCCGCACACACACGATGAATTTTCAGACCGCTGGCAACACATCCAAGGTGCTATGAAAGTAGCGAGCATCACGTCTTGTGGATTAGTCACACGGCATGCAGCCACGCACTGGATCTCATCGGGTTCTCTGGAACTGCTAAACAGCCGCCGGAATATCCCTGCCGGAAGCGAAAACTACAATGCCCGCCTCCACTACGAAGATATTTGATTAGAAGCTTGCGCAGAGAACGAGAGAATTGGTGGTCCCAACACGCGCGACCGAAATGGAACAAGTATGGATCGATGGGCAGAGCACTTTGAGGGGCAGTTTAATTGGCCTCCAGCCCCAACGCCCCCACTCAGTAGTCTGTTTCTACCAGTTCATGCTCCATGGACGGTCTGTACTGTCTCATCCATCGAAGAAGTCCACTTCCACCTCCTGAAGCGCAATAAAGCCCCGGCCCTGACGAACTCCCTCCGGCCCTGTTCAAAGATCGTGGTTTGCCCCTCTCCAAAGCACTCATCAGCCACTTTGCCGAGATTTGACTCCACGATTGCACCCCACGAAGTTGGAACTGTGCATCCATTATCCTTATATACAAAAGAGGGGCTAGAAACCTCTGTTCCAATCATCGAGGGATAAGTTTGATCTCGGTCGCATCAAAGTTGTTAGCGTCGGTAATCCTCCAAAGATTGTCCCCAATGCGCGAATAACAGATCAGTGAATAACAGTCCGGTTTTTTACCCAACCATGGGTGCATAAACCAAAATTTTACCATAGGTCAGATACTTGAGCTCCGCCAGACATATCGTACACTGACAGTGATCATATTCTTGGATATCCGAGCAGTTTTTTTTCATTGATCGGACGGCCCGTGGGATTGTCTTATCAGACAAGCAGTGCCTGATAAGTATGTGGAAATCATTCAAGCGCCAAACCACTACACTTCAGGCCAAATACAAGCACATGGCACATTGTCATCTTACTTTCTAGGTAGAAGCGGCGTGCGTCAAGGTTGCCCACTTTCATCCTTCCCATTCAATTTTGCGATCGACATCCTAAGAAAGGCACAAGGAAATCAAACGAACGAAGGCGTTGAGCTCCTACCTGGTAACAGACTTTTGGACTTAGATTATGCAGATGACATCGCATTGGCTTGCGACGATGCTACCGTGGCGCAGTGCTTTCTCATTCCCAACTGCTACGTAATCTGTTGACTTCCACGTAGCTTCTTCCCTTCCCCAAGAGGAACGATAAACAGGGCACGGTATGGTAGACGTATGTTTGCCATACGTACCAGGTGACCCAGTACTACATCCTGGAAAAGCAGACGGTCCCGACGGACTCCCCCCAGTTCTTTTCAAAATAGGTGGTGGTGCGTTGATAAAATCACTTACCACCTTGACCCGTGGGATTCGGAGGAGGCGAGTCATTGATTGTACTCATCTTCAAGAAGGGCATACGTAATGAGTGTGCTGCGGGGTCAGTTTAGTTCTGATAGTCATTAGGGTGCTAAAATCCATTTTGCTGCGTTATCTGATATCAGCCCGCAAGGGAAACGCCCGCGAACAACAAACCGGATTCTGCCCAGGTTGAGGATGTATCCACCAGATTTTTACTCTTCGTCAATTACCTGAAACGCATCACACACACACCGTCGACCGACAGTAATGGTTTCCCTTGACTTGGAAGATGCCTTCGATTAAGTTGACCGAACAGTACTGTTCACCACTCTTCACCGAACAGCATGCCGCAGAAGTTCGCGAATTTACTGAAGTCATTGTACTCCCATACTCTTCGTCATCGACGAGATAACGGAGAACGCCTTGCAAGACCTTCAGGATATGGACGTTGAACTGGCAAATGTACACAGTGGCGGTTAGATCTGCACTTTTCCACAACTCAGAAACATGACCGTTAATGGTAGAAGGTAGACGAAAACTGTCGGTGTTCGAACATCGATGTCTTCGTAGCATTGCCCGAATACGGTGGGAACACCGTGTAAGCAATGCTGAGGTCAGACGTAGGGTATTGGGCGCCAGAGGTCAGTCTGTGGGTCAAGTACTGAATCTAAACAAATTAAGGTGGCTGGGACATGTGTTACGCATGTCCACCGATAGACTTCCTCTGCGTGCGCTGTTCTCCGAAGTAGGTAATTGTCGGGAGGTAGGTCGAGATGGCCAATCCACGACATGGCAAAAGGGTTTGAAAACCTCGACTAATGGACTTGGTCTAGTAGGACGTGTTAGACTTCCGGGCTAAGGTTCACGGGACACGCTCACCAGATTGCTGGAGACACTGAGTGATATGGTTAGGTGCTGCGGCCAGTGGCGTAGTTGCATTCGAACTCTCTCCTTGTTTTCGTGAGTTCCGACCCTTACTTTGCTTTGGCTCTTTTCCTCTTCAGCCTTGTGTTCGTTTTGCTCTTGACCCGGCGACGCTGTGAGGTAGCAACCGAAACCGGCGCACAGAATTGCGAAGTAAATGATTGAATGAACCGTACTGATTTCGTGTTCTACCTAGTGGCAGAAATTATATGGGTATTTCCCACCGTAAGCAGTTCAGAGAATTTGGAATTACCGTTTGGAACGACGGGTTTGTATAGTTACATATCTCACTTGAGTTAAAACCACACAGCTTCTAAGATGGTTGATCAACAGTAGGTACTGAGCCAAGCCTTGTGTCCGACCAATATTTCTTTAGATCGACCATGGCATTCAGAGCACGCAAGAGATCGGAGATCAGTATTGTCTGGTTGGTATCGCGAGATATTATGAAGTTCCGTCAATACTCAGTGCGGTCTCCGACTGTCCTTACTTTTATGGCACACGAATGCACCCTCTCATCTGGTAAACACTTGATCACTGAAACGGCAGTACCTGTATTAGGCAACATTCATCACGGTCATTAACTTCAACTTATGTTTAGATGGCCCCACGGTTTGCCGCCCCAAAAAAGTTGTACCTTGAGAACACGATAAACAGGACATCAAGTCTTTATTTATTGCATCGTGCTGTCGGCGTTTCGTGTACTGTCACCATAAACGTGTCACGCTTCCACAACAAAAGCAAGGGGGTTTGAATCTGTTTTCTAGCCGTCACGGGTTTCCTTTCCATTTTTATCCTGTTCAGCCACGACCTCCCCTCCAGGAGCTCACTTTCTAGTCTACAGTAGATTTCACCACCACCATATCAAAACTGGCTAGTTCACGGGCAGCCTCTGCCAATTTCCAAACGCCCATTTTTTGACTTACACGTTGATACGTATTTTGCTTGCAGGGGCACCAACAGGTTGTCGAGGAAACGGTCCACCAGCACTCGCGTCCGCGACGCGATGTCCAGCACAAGCAACGAACAGTCCAGCGGCGTATCCAGTGATGCCATGCATCAGCGAATTCGCACCAACCCCTAGTTCAGCCGCCTTGAACCGCCGCATTGACTCCTGATGGTCGACAGAATTCCGGATCCAACAATCAGGACGTCTTTGGAGGTAGCCCACTTTATCTCCTCCGGACTCCATCGCCCCACATCCAGTACCGCCGGTGCTCTGCTTCTTAAAAGTGATTGAAGTGCCACCAACTTACTTCTTGACCAACCGGATCCCCGAAAGCTCTATCACGTCCTTAATGTCCTTCAGGAAGCTCCGCACATCCCCGTCCTTGAACGGCTCCGGACACAGGATCTTCACCCTGGCCACGGCATCATTTTATTATCCAGAAGACGTGTCGAATAAAAGGTCGTTTATTCGTTTTACAGCTTCGGGACCAAACTCAAATGATTAGACTATAGATGAGCATCTGTTTGAACACGACTGACATTGGATATCTCAACTCACTGGGAATGAGTCAAAACCTTACTGGCGTTTGCATGCCATACAAAACACAAATCACAGCGCACAACAGACACAAAATCTGCGACCTCGTAGGGCAACGCTATACTTGATCACTACAGTGACAGTACCACTTGGGTCGGACCTCAAATCCGCACTTGCACAAAAAATGGGCCTCGGCCGGGCAGCCGCTCAGACACAGCATGGAATTCGATAAGTCTACCCCATCTGCTAGTTACAGAAAAGCCAAGCGCAACACAGTACCGCGCTTTTATTAGCGATGACCAGCATAAGTCAAAGCAAGTAACCAGCTCTACCGCCTATATGGCACGTTCGGACGACCTTACGGAAACCATATGTTAACCAATCAAAATATACAGTGGCGCAAAAAGATCCAAATTCAGCATAGAAACAAAAAAATCATATGTCTCGGTAACTGTCTTGTAGAAAAATAATATTTTGGTTGGAATCTGTGGGCCTAAATGCAGGGGAAATGTACCATCTTCCAAACCGGGAGTGACTCGAAGAGAATCTCGTTTGCATCAAGTCTATGCGGTAGACAATACCTTGTTACTCCGTCCGTCGGACGTTTTGGCATGTTTCGTCAGTCTTCCTTCACTTCGCCGCACGTGAAGCAATGGGACCTTATGTGGATCTCTACTCCGAGCCTCAGGGTCTAGTTGGCGACTACGCCTAGGAGTGTAGTGGGTCTTTAAGGCTATGAGATATACCGCTCCTACTGCAGAAATGAACAAGCGTGCACTTAGAAAATGTTATCTGTATGACGTTATCACCTTCCCAGTCGCCCCATGGTTCATAGGTGTTTTCGACTAAGGATATTTATTCAAGTAGCATTTGCAAATTTCACCACAAAATTACAGCTAATCGTTCACCAAGTCAGTCAAATTTCAAATGTGTCCCACTGAAAGCTTCATCGCACGGTCTCCTTTCAACATAATCTTGGCAAGTTGTTCTGGGCTCTTCCAAGTTCTGACATCTACTGTGAAATGTTAAAAAAGCATTCATGGACCTTCATCTCTCCCAGGTAGTTTGTACGACACTTATCTTATTTACACGACTGTAAATCCTGCAATACTTTGTTCATTTGTTCAAGACAAAAACGATTACTGCATGTACACAAAAGAACTGGGCCCTCGTCAAAGCATGATAGATAATTAAAATAAGTCATTTTCATTGAAAATCGAAAATAAGTGGATGTTGCCCTCCTTCTTCCTCCCTCCCCCCGGATATTATGCAATGTGTCAGCTTACTCTCCCTGTGCAGTTTACCACTCAGTCCCAATAATTTACGGTCCTCTTGAGAAACCCCCATCGATATTACACTTAACCAAACGAGGTTCTACATAGAACACCAGTTTTAAAGTTTTAAAGCCACCGATCTCATACAAATTGTGTGAAGCGTTATCATGAATGTCGTCTAAATCATAGGATATCACGCTTACGCATATATAGATAATTTTCTCCCTAAATAAGAAAGAAAAATTGAGGAATTCCAAGTGGGTATTTAGACGATCGGATTTGCATGTGAACCGCTCACAGGATTTCCGATAGGCGTGTACTATTGAAAAAAAAAACCGAGCATTACATGCTTGCGTATGAGCGCAATGAAAGGGGTATACCCATAGGCACGAGGGCCTACTTCATTATCAGATACAACCGGCAACCAATCCCTGAGACTTGGAGTGGATAACCACATAAGGTCCCGACAGGTTAGCGCTGGTGAGCAGGACGACACTGGGGATTAATGTCTACGACCAAAGTGACCGGTGGTGGCAGAGAATTCAAATCTCTGACCTCCAACATGGTAATCGAACGCTATAAACCACTCGACCACCACCGATCAGGTTGAACATTGAACGAGGAGTGTAAATTCACTGAATCACCTGCATAAATTCCTTAGCTTGTTGTTCGGTAACTAACAGATCGCTCGCAATAAAATCCGCATCTGAAGCTCCCTTGCAACGATAAACGCCAGCGATCAACACGTCCATAGTCTGAATAGCATTTGCCACACGAATACGATGTTTTTCCACTTTGGCTGTATGCAAACATTGCATGAGCAATCTGTTCAATGAAGGCTGATAAGTAAAGGGGTATAAAGAGGAACAATAAAAATCAGTCAGACAAGGGGTTGTCGTGAACTGTTTCCATTTAAAAATGTGGGATGGTACTTCCTGAAATACCACCTGCTCAGCCACTAAGAAAACGAGTGATTGTTTTTCCTCTGCAACCACACAACCTTCAAGTAAGGATATAATACTGTCTACAAGAGGGTATCTGATATTCTTGTAAATCCAAAGGAACGTTCGTTGTGGCCATCAGATATGTTTGTATTACCGCACTCTGCATTCTGTCACCAAGTTCGGCGTTATCAAGCGAGAATTTTTGCCTTTTCGTCTATCTCAGAACAATCATCTCAGACGTACAGTGATAATGAACAGGAAGTGCAAAAAAATTTTATGGAAATACAGGGCGCGATCTGGGAAGGAATACAATACTTACCTTCAAAAGAGCCAGATCATCCTTGTGCGACTTCTCAAAATGAGACGTCAAACACTTCACATTAACCTGAAACGTTTGTAGAATTTGTTGGTTGCTTTACCTTTAAAAGGAAAAAGTCGTCCCAAAACTCAGCCCGTCCTTGTGCAATGTCTTGTCCCTACAACTACAAATAAATAAGAAAACGAAGCAAACCTGAAACAACTTGTCATACACTTGAAGGATTTTCTCTTTCAGATATCCTTTTGGATTCTTCCTACGATCCGGATTTGTTGTCATTTTGGGGGAACCTTAGCGACCCACCAAAAACATCACCAAAGACATTATAGGTCAACAGAGTAAAAACCTAGCCAGAATTAGAAAACAATGGTCAAATAAGAAAAGCTGGGTTTCGGATTACTCAAATCGTTTTACAGAGTACTAGTGTCGTCGTCCGTTAAAATACACGGAGCTTGAATGTAAATCATCCACTGAGTGAACTGATGACCCTTCAGTAAATACTTGCGGAGCTTTTAGACTGCTGCATACCTCGTGCATGCATCACGTGTAGTACATAGGCACCGTTGTGAAGTTCATTCCCTTACTTTTACAATACTAACTTCTGTGAAGATAAATCGACTTTGTGCATGTCCTTCATGATGGCTACCCATGCAATGCGATCAGCAGCGAGATCGGCTGAAACCAGGTTTGTGTCAGTGACAAGTACCAAAGGCTGACTTTATGTATGTATGCTTCAAGTCCGTTTAGGCTTTGACAATCTGTCCTTAGCTAAAAAACAAGACACCAGTTTCAGTCTGAGAGAGGCACAGGGAATTAGATTTCGTATGTTCCGTTCCGGATCGCCAAAAGTCGTGGTCAAGCAAATGAAAGCGGCGCTGCTGTAGGCATGGGGACATCGTTGTCTGACAGCGGCAGATGAGATGCTGCCTCGCCATCATAACGCGGACACATACTGAAGGCACTAGCAAACGAAGGTTCCCAGCTTCCTTGTACTCTAAGCCCTCAAAAAGCGGATTTTGCAGGTACAAGTATGATCGTGGGAATCGTTTACCGATAAACGAGAAGTGCAGTGTGAAATCTGATTTCCCTGCAATTACACAATAGCATGTGGAGTTGTGACAAGGTCATTCGTGCGTTATCAACACAAATCGTGATGTCATTTTTAGTCTGGCAGTTTCTTTGTAAACCTGTTGCAAGTTTTCCACTGACATGGATGAGGCATCATGCTGTAATCTCAACTTTTGGTGCCGTCGTCAACGATTTTTTCCACAGGTTGACCTCGAATCCGATATTCTTGCTCCAAAATCAATACGGTTGTGTATGCACTGTAAACTATTCGGTGTCTCGTAGACCGACGCTTTAGTTTACAAGACTGAAATCGACTACCTGGCTAATTTGCACAAACTCGTAGCTTGGGAATAAGAACCGCACAGTCCTGTAAACGGTGCAGTTTAAAAAAGTGAAAAACAGCAGCCCTGGTGGGTACTAAAGCTAGGAGCAAACGCAGCGTCAGCAAGAACGCACACCTGATTAATCAAGTAGTACAAACTTTGTTCTGCGACATTTGGAGGCACCTCGTCAGTTTGTGACACGCTCCAAAGAAACTCTTGATTAACGGGATCGGGGGCAAAAAAAGGGACCGAGTACAATATTTTCATTCTTCACAATTTGACGACGTACCAAGATTCCCCCAAGTAAACACTTGGTCAGTATAGTCCCTGACATAGCGGAAAAAGCATTGATCTGGGGTAAACTTACGTTGGTAGCAGAAACGAAACGATAAGACTGTACAGTCGTTATGGGCACCCATGGGAATACCACCATTAACTCTCCCATTTATTCCCCACTGTTTTCTGTTTTCCATCTTCAAAACTAATCAGTATATATATATATATATATATATATATATATATATATATATATATATATATATATATATATATAATCACGACAAGACTGCACATTGACATGGTGTGATGGCTTGAGTGTCTCCATAGATGCGATCGGTGATTTACAAGGGTGACAGGTCCTCTGTGAAAAGTCTGGTTAGCATCGCATCTAAACTGCTTGCTGGTATTATTCTCCACCGTCTATCAACCGCTCGCGAACAGTGCTCACATGAGAATTAAGCTGAATTTAGACCCAGCCTAGGTTGCGTTGACCACATCCTTACTCTTCGACGAATATTAGAACACAAGCACATCTTTTATAGGCCCAATAGCCTCGTTTTTCTTGATCTTGAGGCATTTTTCGACTCAGTCGACCGCACAATTCGATGGCGCTGCCTCATTTTGAAGATGGTTTCAGAGAAATTCATTTCCATCATAAAGTCCCTTTACATGAACACACGAAGTTGAGATCGGGCTTACGGTACTATTTCACCCGAGTTTACCACGTCAGGGTTGCGCTCTTTCTCCTTTTCTCTTTAACTTTGTGATTTATATGATCCTAGAGACCGCACTTTTGTCAGGCGATGATAGTGGCATTGAACTTTTCCCGAGTGGAAAGGTACCAGACATTGCGCATGCGGACGACATAGTTCTCTAAGTGAAGATCCAGGTAATTTGCAAGCTTTTCTAGACAGCTTGACGGACTGCGTAGTAATGTTCCGTATGCGTTTGTCACCTTTAAAGAGCAAGACGCCGTTGCAGGACTGGGTTGGTTCAACACCAAACCTTTCACTTTCTGGAGAAACTATAGACCTGGTAGACGAGTTCTGTTACCTGGGGAGCTGCATTTCACCCGGAGGTCGGATATTGGATGAGGTAGATTTGCGTATGCAGGAGCCTCGTTTGGCGTTTGTCAACCTGGGTCATCTGTGGTGTTGACATGACATCCGTTTATCTATCAAGGGTCGAGTGTGCGCTACAGCAGTCAGGCCAGTGCTTCTGTATGGTTCGGAAACATGGCCACTGCAGGTGGAGGATATACGAACATTGTTGATATCTGAACACTGATATCTTCGTAACACTTCTTGAATCTGGTGGGAACACCGCGTAAGCAATGCTGAGGTCCAGCGGAGAGTCTTGGGTTCACGAACCATATCATTAGATGAAACATTTAACCTCACCAGACTAAGATGGTTGAGACATGTCCCCTGACAAGATTCCTCGGTGCGCCATGTTCACTGAGACGGGTGCCAGCTGGATGATGAGTAAGGACGGCCAGTCCATGACACGGAAGAAAGGTAAGAAAAACCCAACCTATCGGGTGTGTTTGACTTCTCGGGTGGGGTCCAAGAGACCCTCCCACTCAGTGGTTATATACGTCAAAGGAAGTGGCTAGGTCTCGCGACCAGTGACGCTCTAGTATTCGCAAACTTTCTTTATCGACTTGGTACCAATATTTGTGGTTTTTATTGTTCTATTATTATTACTGTCCTTTTTGATTGCTTCTGGTTGAGGCTGTCGCCAGGAGATAGCAACCAAATCCACCACATCCAGTGCATGGCTAACGGTTGTCTGAACTGAACTAAACGGAGTAAACATCACCCAGGAGGTCGTTTTGGTCTTAATTGCTGCCGCTCGGACAATAGTGAGAAGCTTTTTATGCATGATACCATCACCGGCAGTTTATATCCAGCACCAGCTTTAAGAACACAAAACGCCGTTCAGTCACTTGGCGACCTCCTTCGTCAACTCAGGATTGGGCTCACATAGATCACATTAGTTACCAGCAATTAGCTATAAATGGCGATGCGGTATACAAAACTGCCGTTTATACTGAGGAACTAGTTTTGATTCTGGTCACGCATTAGTGTGCTACACTGTGCTTTGGTAGGACAACTAGAAAGATGGTATCTCGAGTTGATGTCTCACGGCTATCGGAGCCTATCGTGCTGGCCAAATTCCAGAGTGAAGTGAGAGATAGATTGAGCGCCGTTCCACTGTACCCCATAGAGCAAAGTTGGGCTCTCGTCAAATCGGCCCTGAAATCTGCATTTCCGTTCAAAAAACTTGACGATGGAGCCAAGCAAAAGGATACACCGAACCCAGACGTCCAAATAATGGGCAATTTAGGGGCACGTGAGCCTTCACCAAGTCCACCATCAACTAGCCACTTCGTAGATATGGAGACTGTTGCCGGAATTTCTAAACACTGATATGGAATACAAAAAATACTCTAAATTCTAAACAGCTAAAAAAAATCAGCTTTGCGAACAGAAAAAGAAAAATAGACCCGATAACCCGAGCTCCACGTCACGGTGTAGCGCAAATTCACAGATTCAGTTCAGCTCAGTTCAGTTTGTTCAGTTCAGTTCAGTTCAGTTCAGTTTGCACAGGACAGGTAATGGCCACGGCCAACCGAGCGTCCAGAATTCCTTCGATGGTATGCATACCAGTTATGCACCCACCACTGCCGAGTGTATTTCGTCGAATCCCCGCTAAAACTGAGAGGGAAACGGAAAACCTCATCGCACATCAACTGCGAGAGACATTGTGCATCGTGAGCGTTCACTAAGACAGTATGCAATGAAGGAAAAAGTCTGGTAAAACATACTCCAGAAGGACCACAGTGCTACCCGTCATCCATCTAGTTGACATACTCAAGGCTCACTACAAGGAAAGATCTCGTACCACTTGCGATCTAGGGCGCCTTTGAAGGATTGCATATGACTTGCGTGGCTAGAGCCAATCATGTGTCCAGATAGTTGTGTTATCGGCTCGTCTCCGTAGCTCCCAACACTGCGTGATTTTCTTTTTCTGAAAGACAGAAATTTTGTGTAGTATCAGCCCTGACAGAGAAAGGTGGAAACAATGAGTAAATTGCTTCTGACCCTAAAAACTGCTTAAGATAACTTGCAGTATACTGCCACCCAACATAGGTCCACTGCTTTCTTAAAAGCCTTCACCGTTGTGGTGTTTATGACCTCCTCCGGGAGCTTATTCCAATCGGGTACCACTCTATTAGAGAAGTACTTCGCCCAATTTAGAGCTTCGAATGCTTCCTTTGAAATTTAAGGCTATGCCCCCTTGTGCCTCTCTCGAGGATCAGAGAGGAAAGTTCTTCTCGTCTTATTCCTGACAGTCCCTTCGCTACCTTGGAGGTTTCTGTCAAATCCCCGCGAATGCGCCGTCTTTCCATCGAGAAAAGGTCTGGGGCACGGAGACCCTCTGTGTAGCTAGACCCCACTTACCCAACCACCATTCTAGTGGCTAGCCCTTGCACTTTCTCCAGACAGTCTACATTTTTCTGGTAGTGCGGTGCCCAGGCCTGCACGCAGTACTCCATATGCGGCCCAACTATGGCCTGATATATCGGAACGAAAATCTCCGGATCTCTACACGACATAATGGATCTAACTCGAAAGAGTTCTCTCCTGG